GTTGATTATTCATTTCATTGTACATGATTTTATGTATTTTGATGTGTGTTAATGTTTTGTTTTGCTTCTGTACATACTCTCCATTTTTTTTAGACAATCTAGAATAAATTGAAATTAAAAATAAATTGAATTATTACCTACATCCTTCACGCTTCTTACTATTAGACCTATTTGTTGTGACAGATGCAGCTACGTAATTGTATGAATTTATTTTGTTTGATAAGTGCATCAAACCGTGGGCATTTTACACTTCTTGTTTATTTATACATTATTACTTTTATTCTTAGACTTTGGCTTCGCGTGCCGGTTCCCAACAAATCGCTGTAACATGCTATCAACATTCTGTGGATCGTACGCATATGCGGCCCCAGAGATTCTATCGGCTAGCAATTACGACGGCAAACTAGCGGACATATGGAGCTTGTAAGTTATTTTGCTTTTTAAATTTTTCATTACTTTCAATCACCACTATTAACACCACCACATATTATTATTATATGCTATAATCATTATTGTATGCTATATACCGTATTTATATATTATTGACTTGAGTACAACTTACACCTAAAAAAACCTCAGAGCTGGAAGGAAATCGTGTGTGCCGAGGCTCATTTTGGCACCAATCCCCCACCACCACTCCTCCCCGGGCACATGCCCTATTCTGTTCTTCACCCCTGTAGTTATGCCTCTGCTAGTTACTAAAAAAGAGGAGCTGGGGCGTGGACGTGCCCATAGTGTTTCGATACGTGTATACAGAGACTATTCAATACCATTTGCACGCTTCAGATGCATACGCTGCTTTTACGGATGCAGTTTATTATTGTTTTTTGTTCAATTATATTAATTATCATTTTTTCCTTTATAAAACCAATACCTTTGTCGCATGAATAGGCCAATCCGCCACTGCTTCATCATTATAATATTAAGCGTTTCTATTGATATTTGGCTATTCGCCGTCTTCATCAATCTTTTTTACTGCCATTAGCATGAATGAAATGCAACTAATTTTCCAAACTCCATCTTCATCAGAGGTGTGGTACTGTATGCGATCGTTAATGGAAGACTTCCGTTCAATGACCAGAACCTTACAACTCTCCTTCAACAGACCAAGAAAAGGCCTCACTTCCAGCCTTGGGTTTCTAAAGGTATCATAAATCTAAAAAATTTGTCTCACTGTATCATCATCACCACCATCATCATTGAATTAATATCACCTCGTTCCATCAATATTCTATGTTTGGCGTAGCCCTACAGTATATTAGTATTGGTAGACATACTGTATTGTAACATTTAATACTGTACCTATCTTCTGTTTGCTCAAAGCTTGGATTAATAAAATGTATGTTTAGTAAACCATTTAAGAAAACCTAATGTGTAGAAAATGTGTTCAATATTAAAATATAATACAATATAATATGAGTTATGCATTGCTTTGAAAAAAAATATGTAGGATAACCATATGCAATAGGCCTAATTCATTTATTGATCTTGATGTGCCTACTTGTGTATACAGATTGTGCTGATTTAATTCGGAAGTTATTGCGACCACGCCCTCTTACACGACTGCGTATGCATGAAATCAAACACCATCCCTGGGTTCGGAAGCAGGTTATGAAAGTGGACCCCTCAGACTATGTAAATAGTTAAGGTTTTTTTTTACATGAATACAGTATCGAAGTATCATAATTCTCACTTTATGTTAGTCAATAACGATTGTCCTCGTACTAAAAGTGTTACAAATGAGTACCAGAGCAAAACGAGGGCACATAATATTAAGTATTATAAAGTCAATTGTGACGTCAATCACTGTGACAACCGATGACTGCTACAACAGTCGATTATCTGAATCTTCGATTCCATACAATCGCTCACGACAGTTGCCGACAAGATATATGTATAATACACTAGTGTATGATTAGCTACTATACTAATTGCTTTATAATACAGTATTAATATATATATTTTTTTTAATTGTTGCAGGGGTTTACTAGGCCTATTAATGGTGCTGGAGATGAAACCCAGTCAGAGGAATCGACAGAGTCGTCAGTCGACAGTACGCCACCTAAAGAGCAACATGTAATAGTTCTACTACCGAATGGCGAGACAACACGAAAGAACATTAACCAGTTGGCTCCACGCATACTTTCACCAGGTAGTGTACTTATAGTACCAACATGCCTGTCCTTTGTCAGGGGTGAATCCAGAATTTTTCAAATGGGGAATGGGGGGGGGGGGCACACAATATTTCAAAATAGATAAGTGAGTAGCACTTATTTTGAATACATAACATTTATATGCATTGAAATTTTTAAACTTAGTGAAAAATGGGGGGGGGGGGAGGCACATGCCCCTACTGGATCTGCACCTGTGTGTTGACTCATCATTCACATGTTCGTTAGAAATATGCATACTTGCTTGCTTTACATTGAAATTGACCAAAACACTATTTCCCTTTCAAGGAAAACCAGTAAAAGGGGCAGAGGGAAAAGACAAAACAAGAACTGAAGAACTCAACAAGACATACTTACAACCAAAGTCGATACTAAAAACTCGGACTGGTTCAGTTACAAGCAAAGCAGACACTGAGGAGGCTCGTACTAGAATGAAGAACTTGTATCAAAGAATCTTACAACCATCTCTGAAAGAAGATTACATTTTTGAAGTCGTAGATGAACAGAAATACAGGGAGCGTGGTTGTAGGTCTTCATGCCCTTCAGCAAGTCCAACAAAATGCATTAATTCTCCTCCAAAATCACCTCTTGTAGACCAACGGTGCAACACACAAAAATGTGCTTCCCCATCTCATCAGAAATCACATAGACGAAGTCTTGCCTCAAATAAACCACTGTTAAGTACAGAAACAGAGGCAACGCTTATTCCTGTCTACCAACGAGAGGTACCCGCAAGACAACCATATGAAACAGACTACACTCGCATCACATATCGTCTCGGTTACCCTCCATGTCCATCACCGACAAAATTGGAGGGTCAAAAGAGTCCACCTAAGGAACCAAAAGCACCGCCACCACCTCCTCAAAGAAAAGACCATATGGAGCATGAAACCCCACCAGTGGCAAGTAAAGCATCTCCTTCCAGGAGCAGCAGGCACGAGTTCCAAGGCACTCCAGTGGTGGCACGTACTTGGGATAGGAGGCTAGAGTCCCCCAGCCCAATTAACACTCCTGTACCAAGTCCTGTTCGAAGCCCCGAACACTCCAGTAAGCGATATATGTTGCTTCGACGTCGGGCCACAAAACCACCCAAGAAAATCAATGACCCAAAGACACAACTGTTGTTTCGACGGCTATGTGGCTTTCCAAATCTATCATAAAGAACCATGTAAATAGAATTTGTTGTAAGTACAAATCGTTATGGTCGAAAAACCAAATAAATGTACACTAATCACTTATGTTGTCTGTATTTTTTGTTTTTAATTCAAAAACAACTTTAAAATGCAATAGTGTACATGAAACTGCAACACATTAACTCAATAATAAACTATTTTTAACTGAATACAAATAACTATATCAACATAAAAACAAGCAAACAAACAAGATAAATGAGTGTATTGAATTAATAGTTTTTTAATATTATTATAATATTAAATTAACATCAAATGTGAATAGGCTGATGTCAGTCATAATCATAATAGCAACTTAGTGTTATGAATCTCATTCATTCTATTCTAAGAACAAGCGCTTTGAAACTACAGTACTACACAATTAAGCAACTACCTTCACTAGCTAAGTCAACGATTTCAGTTTGTGAAGCTCTGAGGTAAATCCGAATTGAGTTGTCATATCAGGATGAAAACGTAGGCTAGCACCTCTTGAGTCTTCCTCCGTCATAATTCACTCAACGAAAAAACCTCAAAACCTGAAAATCTGAAACATCTGTAAAAAAGACAAGTGAATGTTTAGCATAAATATTAGAAATATTGATGCAATATAAAAAAAGTTTCCATCATACATATTTTATACATGGTATTTATTATTTAATTGCACTTACTTAAAATAAAACTTTTTTGCTAAGAATAATTGTAAAATTGGTAACCATACCCACAACTCTCCGATGAATTTGACTGCTATAATACTAACTGAGCTAAGAGTCAACTTGTGATCTTTTTTCCATTTTCAATGTAGGACACATATTTCTTAAGGTTTTGCATACTATGCAATTTCTTGATAAATCACATTTTCATTTACGTTACTAACAAAATAGCATCAGAAATTATGTTAGCATTTTATTATAACGGACTTCCAAACAGTTGGCTTCTGATTAACTAGTTACTCTGTAACAACTTAACATTAGTTTTATAATTTATTTCAAATTTTACCTCTGTAATACAAAGATGCAGCAAAAAATTAGAATAATTACCTTTCTTTAAAACAAAAAGAACATAAGCAGTTAGCGCAACTCTTCTTTAAGGGCATTAATGATGACGGACGATTCTGGAAATTTCAACTTCCTGGGGGGTCCTTTTTTCAATCCAGTCCAAATGTTGACCTCTGGAAAAGATAATAAAATTATCTTTTATATAATTATGGCTTATTTTTACAATGCACTACAGTAATATAATCATGGAGCTATTGAATAATTTTTTAGCTCCATGGATATAATTGAAATATGTTATATGACCACAAACCTGTATCATCCTCTTTAATCAAAATTATCTCAAAACTTTTTGACCTTGGTTTATTAGGGTTGACTTCAAAGACTATATTCTCAAATTCTTGTTTGATGTCCTGTGACAGTCTTACAGCGTGTTTTTTGTAAACCTGTCAGGATTTACTATGAAAAAGAAAACAAAATAATTGATAATTGTCAGTTGGCACACTACAGTAATGCAGTTCAAGTAAGTACTCGGTGGGATATTCCTATTTTAAATCGTATAAAAGTTGTTTATTAATATTAACACACAAGGTGACGCCTCTGGACCCCCTTACTGGTGGAGGGCTGAGGTCTATTTGATAGATATTTTTCTTTTAACAACTAGGCCTAGGCTAGAGGCCTATAGCCTAGCTAGGGCCCTAGTCTAGGTCTGTACTAGCTAGGCTAGGCCCTAATAAGTTAGTAAGCTCGGCCTAAATAGGAGGAGGGATAGCTATCTAGCTCGTCTTCGGCCTCTCTCTAGTACTAGCACGGCAAGTAGTAATAGCCTAGTAGTATACTAGGCCTAGTAGCAGATTGGGTGCAGGCCAAGCCCTGAGCCATGTGCGGGCTAAGGCCTAGCTAGGCCCCTCCCTAGCCTAGCCGCAAGTTTTGTTTGAAATTGAGCAGGTCTTACCAATGCTCGATCTTCACTCTCATACTTTTCCTCCCTTCAATTTTAACACCCTTTACTTTCTTGGATGGCACCTCCCGAGTTTCCTGAACTTCATCAGCTTGCACATTCTTTTCTGTTTGTAAAGATTTTGAATCACGTTTTCTCCCACTGCGTGGTGCCATATTGTTTCTGCTGAGAGTTTAAGGAAGTTTGAAACTTGGTGGCGCTATTCAAGTTTTGTAACACTGGATGAGATTTTGCGATGCACCATGTTGATTATTCTTGTGGTGGGAGGTGGTTGGGGCTCCCGACATTTCGGCCACCTTCATGGGAAATACTTCAGATGATGGTTGAGGTGTCTGTTTGGGGTGCCGGGAGGTTCTCGGCCACTCATCCTGTCTTTGTTGAAGTTGTCTACATGGTGTCTCACATGAATTCATTTACTGTTAATTTTTTTTAAATTTCATCTCTCACCACTCACATGGTTGTGTACCACTGTTACGAAAGTGTCATTCTAAACAAATTATTATAGTTATTACTATAACCAAACACGAAAAGTACAGGACAAATGAAAAGATGAAAAAATGAACCACTGTAGTACAGTCTGTACATAAACGTTGCAGTTTAATAAATACATTAAATGTCCATGCTGAATATATACAAATCTCATTATCTGACCTAAGAAATGAGTTCTGCGACAGTACTTGAGCCAGTTCATAGCAAACAGCTTTAATGACAGCCAACCAACCAATTTAAGACGATGATTGATTGATTTGGCTAATAGACTCATGGGTTCCAGGCATTTTTTACATTTGATTTGTGTAATAATAAAAAATAATAATTTCTAAATAAAAAACGAAAGTAAACATTTTTTTTTACATCAATTTACATTTTTGAATATTTTAATCTGTGTTTTGATGCAAACATAATCAATAACATATCTGTGATTGGTAAAACATGTATTTAATATAGTAGGGTCAACCATGAGTGACCGACCTGTTTGGTATAACTTAAATACCTCACACTGGATGAGATTTTGCGATGCACCATGTTGATTATTCTTGTGGTGGGAGGTGGTTGGGGCTCCCGACATTTCGGCCACCTTCATGGGAAATACTTCAGATGATGGTTGAGGTGTCTGTTTGGGGTGCCGGGAGGTTCTCGGCCACTCATCCTGTCTTTGTTGAAGTTGTCTACATGGTGTCTCACATGAATTCATTTACTGTTAATTTTTTTAAAATTTCATATCTCTCACCACTCACATGGTTGTGTACCACTGTTACGAAGGTGTCATTCTAAACAAATTATTATAGTTATTACTATAACCAAACACGAAAAGTACAGGACAAATGAAAAGATGAAAAAATGAACCACTGTAGTACAGTCTGTACATAAACGTTGCAGTTTAATAAATACATTAAATGTCCATGCTGAATATATACAAATCTCATTATCTGACCTAAGAAATGAGTTCTGCGACAGTACTTGAGCCAGTTCATAGCAAACAGCTTTAATGACAGCCAACCAACCAATTTAAGACGATGATTGATTGATTTGGCCTAGCTACTTATGGAAGATTTCATAGAATAAACTCGTCACAATAGCGTCATACTGTAGAATGGAAAAATTATTGTCAATGTCAAATAAGGTAGAATGATGTCACTAACAAAAAGCAGTTGAGGCTTCTTCTATTGGTTTGCTTTCCCATCCACTACATTTTAAGGTATGATGACAAAAATGATGATAATGATCACGGTACTCTTGCTGATGGATTTGAAAAATCCATTGACATAATAGTTCATCTTTAAATATGATTTTAATCCATCATTTTTTTAATACGTTGGTATCATAAACAGGCTAGTTTATCTGTACGTCTATTCATCTTCTTTTTGTTTCTTTTACTTGCACCACGTAGCGTTGTGCAACCTTCAGTGGCGGTGAGTACCCATCAACATAAGATGTGTCTTCAAAAAATACTAAATATTCGTCTTGTGGCTAAAATAGAAGATAATAATTCTTGAAGGTTTGTACACCATGTGGCATATGCTAGAAATCTCAATTGATATACAAAGTCTAATGTTAAAGATAATGGCTTAATCTTAAGGCTACACATCTAGATGTGTATAAGAGACAGGTGGTGGGGGTGGGGGAAGCACAGCCAAAGCTCCACAGGGGGATGAGCATGCCAATGCCACTGGAGATGAAGAATTCTATAATATAAATTTCATTATCGTATCAACGATTTGTCACAAAACTCACGGGAAATTCACTTACCACCACCCGCATGCTTATGGGCCTGGCATGGTTCAAAGAATACTTTAAGTAACTTACCCCAGAAGGCGGTTCATTGACAATAGCTCGATAGAAACAAGTAGTTTGAGGATACAACGCCATCACAAGCTGAAAATGATAAAACATCTAAATGTAAACATCTGGCAATTATGAACCATGAGCTTCTGAATAATAATATTCATGGTTAATCACATACCATATTTATTTGAATATACGACCCACTTTGAATATATGCCCCGCTTTGGATAAATGCCCCCTCTAGAGCCTCATTTGGAATAAATGCTTTCTCGAATAAATTCCCCTAAATAACCGTAAACAAATCTAATGGAAGCAACATTATTGTCAACACATTCTATTAATATTCTACTCCAGTACAATTTCATTTTTTCTAACCTGGTTGGGATCAGTAAGTCTTTATGATCACGCAAAAACACATTTTGTGTTTCAATTATGTGTTGTAGTTCCACATTTACAGAGAAATTAAGGGGCATTTATTTGAATACATACATATCCATTTTACACCAAAAAACATAATTGCCTCCCTCGAATAAACGCCCACTCAAAAATCCTTCTCAACAATAAATACGATAATACTGTAGTCACTCTGGTATAGAGAAGCACCTCCACTGGTGACAACTAATAATGATAATTTATTACATTCCGGTAATTCTCAATATAAAACAGTAAACTATGAAAGTGTATATAAATTATATAGTTATACTGTACACATAGTACTGTACACTGTTTTCTACAATTCCTCTGCAGGATACTTACAGTTCCTTTACTAAACAGTGCTTCAGGGTTTGTCTCTGGGTTTGCCTTCATCAGGGGTAGTGGAATGATTCTTCGTTTTGATAAGTGATGCCTCCTAAAAATAAATTGAGTTAAAATTATCCAGCAAAAAGAGGCAATGAAATGTTGTAAACACACAGTACAGTAAGGTATAAACATTTCCATTCAGATGGAACGGTGCAATAATGAAAGCCAGTCAAGTCACCCACTATTAAAGTAAAATTTGCTAAGAGACAAGTTGACTGGTAATATAATGACCCATAATTAATATAAAATTAGATTTTACATGTTGATGTACATATAAACACGACTTACTCCTTTCCTTCTTCATCTATATCTTCTACTTCATACTTATTCGTGTTTACATTAAACATGTCAACTTCAGCAAGGATCCAGTTTTCATCCCCGTCAGAACCCCGCACTCTTGCTGCGACCTTGTCCCCTTTTTTAGCGATGTAGTTATTCTCACAGGGAATGGCACCGCATAATGGTGGTGGACTATGGAAATAAAAAATAATATTTCAAACAAAACGAATCCAATCATTACTGCAATTAATCCAATAAATTACATTGCTATATATCTTGCATAGATTATAAATTTATTGGGATCCTAGTGGTACAGAGGGTTGCAGATTTTGAATGAATGCATTGATTAGAGGTATTGAGAACAGTTGGCGCAGCCATCCCCTGGCAAAATGCTTTTATATTGTTGTGCTTAAAGCAAGCCCTCTCCTAGCCCATAGGCTATACAGTATACAGTATTAGAAGTTTAAAAAAATGTAATGAAACAATGCAACATTGTAAACGGTTAAAAACAAACTGTTAACTGGTAATACAGCACAGGCCCTAGTGCCTAAAGCTGAATAAATTAGTAACTTTTGGTAAGAGAGAGACAGGTAGTCTAACCTTTGACCTGGTTTTCCAACCCACAATGGAAGCAAGAGGGCACTTTGTTGCAACATTGTCATTAGGACTCCTCTTCTCATTGTTTTCCGTGGCCCTTCTGATTCGTTGTAGTTGTCACTGATTCGGGCCTGTACCCGTTGTTCGTGCTGGATCATTCTCACCTGTTTGATGTTGTCTAAAGCTTTCCACAGGACTCTACAAATTTTGGAAACCGATTGTTATGTAATATTTTGATAATTGATCAACTGGTCAGCTATGGCTGGATGGACCACCCTCACAAAATTTAGTTAATTTATTTTATTTATTCAAGTTTCCTTTACAAGGTTAACTCTTACAGCAAAACGGACTTAAAGAGGCCCTTGCAGGACAGAAAATAATTAAATAAATAAATAAATATCATCAATCAACTCAAAGCCATTAAATGAGGAGAAGGTCCTATGATGGGGCCCAGCTGGCACTGTATTGTACAGTATTCTTATCCTTGAATATTATTATTGTTTTTATTCAGAAGAAACAAATTAAAAATAAACTTATACAAATATATCTTACTCTGCTTCATTTTCAGCATCTGACATAGCATTGCTGTATAGCGTTTTCAGCTTTGTTTTGTAGTATGGAGACACCTTTTGTTCTGATTGCATTTTTTCATGTGTTTTGGTGATATTACTCAGGTTGTGTTCACCTTTGTCACGCTCTTCCTATAAAGACACAACACAAAAAAGATTCACCATCAGATATAAATGTGAGAGCAATCTGAAACAACATGGAGCAACAAAGATCAGTTGGTTGAGCCAGTCGTACTACTGTATGTGCACTAAACCTTGGAAATCAATTGTTCTGGGTAAAATTCAAATGCATCTCTCCTTTAAATTTATGGCGAAACATTATACACCACATTTGGGATGTTGGGAATTTGTCTCTTGGTATACAGGCCAAATCCTTCGCAATCCCTTTGGAGTTCCCTGGCAGTGATCAAAATCTCCGCCATACCATGTTTGGAGCAAATTTGAAGAATCCTGGAAATGGTACTCTCAGAAAGTAAAAAATTCTATTTATTAAAGTAGTTATCCCTAACGAAATATTTCTTTATAGGGACTTCTTCCCCGACTGAGATTCAGGGTTTCCAACCCCTGTAGATTATGCCACTGCTGAAAATTTGAATGATAGAACAGGCTTTCATTTACCTGAACTTGTTTTATTAGCTTGTGTAACTCAACAAGGTGGTCTTGGATTGAGGATGTTGACTCTTGTACTGATAAAGCTGGTGAAGGAACAGGTGCTAGGCTGGCACTGCCAGCTCCACTCCCAGTAACATTAGCATACTTCCCCCTCCTGGCTGTACTCATTTTTCTGATGATATCTTCACACGTTCAATTACTGTAACATCAACACCACTTTTGTTGAAACAGAAATAAAAATAAATAAATTATTTACAACACTGATCTTGGCTTTTATTTAGCATTTTATTCAGTTCTGTAAATCCATAGCCTAGTAGTATTAGCCTTCCAACTCTATCCCCCACCTTTGTGTATCTAGGCCTAGGCAATACAAAGGCCAAACGACAGGAGACAGGACGGGCTGAATCGCCATTGTTCTCTGTGAATGAGTGTGTGTGAAGATTCTTGATTGGGCCTGGCCTAGCCTATCCTCTAGCTAGCTAGATTAGCTAAACTATTTTCAATACTTTTTATTTTGCATGCAACGTGAAAATAATATAACCTGCTGATGCTGTCCACTGATTCGATTTAATCTAGTTAGTATAAACAACAACAAATACTAAAGTAAAACAAAGAACAATCAGATATACCAACCAAACATAACATTTCGATTCTTCGTTTGTGTTCTTCCATACCTACCGGAATAATCTAAATACACGACTGCAGTTTGGTTCCTATAGCCACTCTTTGCTAACACTGGATGCGGGATGAAGCGGCATAAAACAAAAGTTACAGTACAAACATTTTGCATCGTTGTTTAGCAAACCATGATATGAAAGATCCCTATATAGAATACATTACAAATATTAAAAACGGTACTATATCGAAAAACATCAAAACATGATATTAATAAGTAAATAAAGAAAAAAAAATCAAGAACAGACGTTTTTCAACTTAGGCTAACTTTAAGCTTAGTTCCTCCTTGCAGTAACCTATATACTTTTTGATTTTGAGAGTTCAAATTTGTAGACTTAAATATTGCTATAAATGTCGTGTTTTCAAAACTATTATTTAGTCACAATATGGGCCCGTCAAGGATCAATAACTTAATCAACAATGTCACGATTCAATGAGGCCTCTGTTAACCGAATGTCATTTTGGCGAAAAGCCAAGGACGAGCCCTGATATACCGTACTCGCGCGAATAAGCGCCCGGGCGATTAAAATATTTTTTTTTGCACTTTCTGAGGGGCGCTTATTCAAATGGGGCGCTTATTTAAACGCCGGTGCTTATGATGAAAACAGAGTGGAAATTGAGGGGGCGCTTATGGAAATAGATTATTATCGAGGGGTTCTTATGGGAAATTACTAAATTCAAGAGGCACTTTTTGAATGAAAATGACATTATGAATGGCGGTTAGGCGGAAAAAATAATCCTCCAGAGAACATGGGATATTAATAAGTAAATAAAGAAAAAAAAATCAAGAACAGACGTTTTTCAACTTAGGCTAACTTTAAGCTTAGTTCCTCCTTGCAGTAACCTATATACTTTTTGATTTTGAGAGTTCAAATTTGTAGACTTAAATATTGCTATAAATGTCGTGTTTTCAAAACTATTATTTAGTCACAATATGGGCCCGTCAAGGATCAATAACTTAATCAACAATGTCACGATTCAATGAGGCCTGTTAACCGAATGTCATTTTGGCGAAAAGCAGCGGCCGACAGACAAATTGGCTTAACGGACATTTTATTGTGGCCAAATGGACTTTTCGCCGATCGGACGTTCCAAGGCCGAATGGACATTTCATCTAAATTCAGCCGAACCGGGACATTTGTCTAAGTGGACATTTCACCTAAGACATGGGATGGCCGAAAACCGTCACCAGTGGCCGAAGCCTCTTTTGGCCGAAAGGACGTTGCCGAAAGTATAATGTAATTTTCATCTTCTTCAAGTTCTTCATGAATAAACCAAGGACGAGCCCTGATATACTGTACTCGCGCGAATAAGCGCCCGGGCGATTAAAATATTTTTTTTGCACTTTCTGAGGGGCGCTTATTCAAATGGGGCGCTTATTTAAACGCCGGCGCTTATGATGAAAACAGAGTGGAAATTGAGGGGGCGCTTATGGAAATAGATTATTATCGAGGGGTTCTTATGGGAAATTACTAAATTCAAGAGGCACTTTTTGAATGAAAAGGACATTATGAATGGCGGTTAGGCGGAAAAAATAATCCTCCAGAGAACATGGCTCATGACAAGAATGCGTGAATATTTACATGATAAAATAGCAGATGCAATTAGTGGTGGTGGGTAGCGGTTAGCTTTTTGGCCATCGGCCGATTGAGATTAGCAGGATGGCAGGATAATTGTATTTTTTCTTGAAATCTCAGATGAGAATGTGCTAAAGGACTAGGCATAGAAAAATATGTAAAAGGAGTAAAGTTGGAAATACGTAGGCCTACTGTCTGTCCAGGGATCGGATCGGAGCTCTCATCTGTCCAAGAGAACCTAAGAAGAATGTGTTTCCACTCTGCAGCTCAAATCATGCCAACAACCACAGTCCCATAATTGAATTGGACTATTGACTTGCTAAAAAGAAAATCTTATTATGGGGCGCTTATTTAAATTATAAGAGGGCGCTTATTCAAACGGGGCGCTTAAGGAAATTTTCATGTTAGGAGGGGCGCTTATTCAAACGGGGCGCTTATTGGCGCGAGTACGGTACACTTGGTTTGTCAATATTCGTGATTGATTGTACCACTTAGAAAGTTTTCGTTTTTAGGTTGCTCGCATGCATGCTCAATAAAAAATGATCGGTATTATAATCGCAATTTTTTATATTTTTCAGAAAACGATATAATTATGATTCATAAAGTCACAACATTATTCCATGTGCTTATTATTTTTATTTAAATGCTCAGTGTTATTACAAATGTAAAAAGTTTGTTAAATGCATTGTTTTTAAGTGGCCAGTGGCAGAAAATATGAGACAGACCGATTAATTCTGTTGCCTAATCTTAAAATGTTCATGATTCATATCTCCGGAAAAACAAAACTGGGGATGGGGGAGGAAATGCCCCTAGGGCCACCACTGATTCGATTACGATGAAATAAACAAAAAGTCTTTGTTATGTTTCTTTTTTTGATCAATTGAAACGGTAAATTTCAATTCGCTCCATGCAGTGGCGGATCTCAGAGGGGATTAAATATAGGGTGGCTTGCCACATCCTTCTTGACTGAAAAAAAGGCTAATCTAGCACCTAACTCAATATTTCGACATTAATTATGTCATCATCAGGAATGAAAAATTATCCATATTTGCAAGCTTATCCCGACACGATGGCGTGCATTTCGATACTTGGAGATGTTATCTGAGATTAGTCAGTGGACCTTTCTGTTTCTAGCGCCCCCACCCCCAGAGTGGTGCTTCGCAATTCGCATTAATTATCCACTCCCCATTGCTAAGTCCCAGATCCGCCACTGCCATGTTGGTAATATTTTTATAATTTTTGTAAGTGTAAACAAATTACTCAGTTGTTGAATACAGTACTCTGTTTCATTGGCCCAGTTGATAACGTTTGTGTCGCACCAATAAACGCGTTTCAGAACAAAAGAACTCGGAATGTGTGGAGAGTCATACAAAGCCAGGATTTGAGCTTCCGGAAAACTCCAGAGCTGAGAGGCCTGGACTGAAGAAAACATAATGGCGGAAGGTATAAACTTTGTTTTTCTGTAAATTTAATAACAAGTTACGATATTGCACCACAGCTACAACAATCTATTAATAGTATTAAATGTAGGTCTAATTTGAACCTAGGGGGCCAGGCCTAGGTCTCCCCTAGCTAGTCTATAGATAGGATAGGCATGTGGGCCGGCCCTAGCCTAGGCCTAGCCCCAGACTGTAATGTAAATAAAGGAATGCCATGTCAATTGGCCATGGAGCAAATGCTAGGCCTAGTTCGAGCGGATGCATTTAGGCCTAGTGCGAACTATAACAAGCAAGGGCGTTTCAATGTGAATGCACGGTTTTTGTCTCCAGTTGGGGTTTTGTATTTTAAAAAGGAAACTGTATTTGTAACTGAATAATAATTAATATAGTGTTATTATAATTGTATTTGTAGACTTAAAATTTTTAGGCCTATATTTGTAAATGGGAGTAGGCCTAACTATAATTGTAATTGTTATTCACCATAGAAATTTAAAGTATTTTTACGTATCTAGGTGTCAGAAGATGAACATATCATTGGTGTAGTAGTGTGCCACTAAATTTTAAAAATTTCAATGCATATTAATGTTATGTGCTATTCACTTATCTAATTTGAAACAGATGTGCCCCCCCCCCCACCTGATTTGAAGAATTCTGGATCTGCATCTGTGGCATACAGTAATAATGACGTGGATGCCAGTCAATTCGAGCGGATGTCAATTCGAGCGGATGCCAGTTCGAGTGGATGCCAGTTGAGCGGATGCATTTAGTGCGACCTTTAACAAGGGCGAATTTATCGTCGCCGTATTCTTGTATTTGTTTGTTTAAATGCAAAAAAATGCTCTGATTACTAAGGTTCTGAAAGGTTTTCTAGTACTTTTTGATAATTACTCCATGTTTGAATTACAGTCTTGGCAACTCCGACTACCAAGATGGCCACTAACAAGTTAAAACTATAATAGAATTGCGCACTTTTCAGCTTAAAGAAGAAGAAAGTGTATGTTTTACTAGAGTGCACGAGAAGCACACACACAAGACGAGTGACCATTATTTTTTTCACGGTAAACAAAGTGGGGTGGCTAGCCACCCTATTCACCACCCCTCTCTCCCTTCCCCAGATCCACCACTGGTTGGGGTTCTGTATTTAAAAAAGCAAATTATATTTGTAATTGAGTTATGCTACTCACTTATCTATTCTGGAACTGAACTGTTGTGTGCCCCCTTCCTTCCCCTTTGAGAATGTCAAATTTTTAGCTCAAATTATTATACTGTATGTAATTGAGTTATGCTACTCACTTATCTATTCTGGAACTGTTGTGTGCCCCCTTCCCCTTTGAACAATTTTTAGCTCAAAAATAGGAAATTTTGAAGTAATTCGTATAACTCACACAGGTTGTTGTTCGCACAAGTGGATCTTCTTCCGCTCAAACTAGCATCCACTCGAATCCACTCGAATTGGCCTTCGCTCGAAGTAGCATCCGCTCGAATTGACTGGTTCCCAATGACGTCATACCAATTTTCTCCATAAGGCTACAGCCATCTCTTTGGAACCCACTGGGGCTTTTCCCCTGGCTTCCAGGCAAAGCTTAAGCCTAAGCCGAATGCAAATTGTAAGCTCAAAATAGAAAATTTTTAAGTAATTAGTACATAACTCACACAGGCTGTTGATCTTTTTCCGGTCGAACTAGCATCCGCTCGTACGTAGTAAATTCTGCTCGAATCGGCTCGAACTGGCTTTCGCTCGAAGTGGCATCCGCTCGATTTGACAGGTTTCCAATGTAAAATAAGGCCTGTTGCAGCGGTGGCGCCAGAAATTTGCCAACAATGAGTCCGACGTGTCTGACAGAGGGGTACAACCAAGGGCCTCGGTCGACGGCCCGGAATAAAAAAATCCCTGTTAGGGTTCATGGGGAGAGTTTTTATGACTTAATTTGGTCCTAAATGTGCTTTAGACCACAATATTTGGGATTTGCAATCAAAATAGCGTTATTTGGATAAGCAAATTATTATTTTTTACATTTTTGGTCCGACTACCTAATCCCCTGAGGTGTTCCAGGCCTGTCCGACAGGTGGGCAAATGCACACCCTTCCCTCGATGGCGCCACCACTGTGTGCGCAGGGGAGAATGCCAGTCAATACGAGCGGATGATATGCCAGTTCGAGCAGATGCATTTAGTGGAATGCAAACTAAGGGCCTATAACAAGAGCGAATTTAACAGATTACTGATAAATTTAATTGTTAAAACTAAGAAAAAGTGGCTTGTAAATTTTCTTTGTTTTTTTTTTTGTTATCCTGATGAAAAATTAATTTGTTCTGGACTTTAGACCTAATTATTTATGAATCAAGGCCTATATTTTAATAGCATATCTGTCTTTTTCTGTACATCCATAATTAAACAAATTTTCTGTAGCAACTACGGAAGTGGTGGTACCAGCAGATGGGGGTTGGGGAGGCCGGGTGATATAGCCCTCAGCCAACCAGAATATACTGTACCTGCTTCACTCATTTAGCCCCCCATCAAGCCTTCAGTCCCTCCGTTAGGCAGATCCTGGCGCCATCACTGCCTTTGTAGTCGTGGACCCGTAGGAAGATCTAGCCTAGGAAGATGCATTGTTACAGTACGTTAAATGGAAGAGTAATTTGTATCTAGATTCTTTTATATACTTACCTTGATGAATGATGCATATAGGCCTAGGCCTACTTCTATTTGATTGTTTAGCAAAGTTTGAAGTATTGTAATGTGTGAGAATACGTCAGAGATTTAGGAATATTTTAGAGACTGTGACATAATCAACTCCCCTTGAATTCTTTCAGAGGAAGACTGTGATTCCCTGGTCGTCATTGTTGATGTGAATCCTGTCTGGTGGGGGCAGCGTAGTGAAGCTTCCAGCAGCAGTTCTCAGGTAGGACCAGGCCATATGCTTGCCATCCTTATGTCAAGCCATGTTACATAACATTTCATTTGATATGATTATTCTTCCACTAATAATATTTCTTTAATTTATATTTTAATAGTATTTATTTTATGGGTTAGTGGGCTATTTGGATGGCACATCTTCGGAGTGCACCTTCACTAATCATCAAAAAAAGGCTTTTTGAACGAATAGGTATACTACCGGCTAAATAAACGCTGCCTATACTTTTACTTGTCCTTGGCAGTTCAAGACAAACTCATGCCAAAGTACCATTTTATAATTCTACTTGTTTTTAATGGTTTCTGTTTTCCCCCAAAGATTACTCTTACAGAATGTATGGAGAACATACTTGTGTTTGTTAATTCACATCTCATGATGAAGCATACAAACCAAGTAGCAGTCATAGCAAGTCACACAAATGAAAGGTGAGCAGGCTTGATAACTTATTACAAGTAGATGATAGTATATAATTATATTGCATACTGTACATATTGTATACTGTTAATTAAATTGTGTATATTGCATATACGAATGTATTTATTTATTTTTGAATTTATTTATCAGACTTGTTAGCAATAGCAGTGTGCTTTTAAAATATTTTATTTTATGTGTTTTTACTTTGGTAGACTCCAACATGAATGTAGTATATGAAAACAGCACATTTTTAAATTATAAGATAAAGGCTAACTTTTAATTTTCTTGTTATGTAAACCTTTTTCATTCTGCCTTTTTATTTTGTTTAAATGTTGCTGATATACCATCTGATTTTCTGAAAGGACACATATAAAGAATCTTGAATATTATACACGATACATGATACTTTATTTGTTCTCAAATACAAAGAAATGTTGGCATACACGCGTTATTTCATATAACATGTAAAAAGGCAACATGCAAAAAACTAAATGACAAAAAATAAAACATTAAATACTGTACAAAAGAAAACGATAAAAAAATATAAAATTTTAAAACTAATTAACATATATGTTATTTTACATTTTTTGTACTTTCATTCCAAATTATTATCCTTGGTTGTCTTGATTGCATATGGACAATATTTTACTGTGTTTATTTACTCTGTGAACATACACACTAAATTAGTAGTGTGTTCAACTTAACTACAAAATATCACGTAATGAAATTTACATATGGTACCACTTATTAAATTATAAATTAACTAAAACTAGATAAAATTAGAAAAAAGGAACACTTAGAAATTACTAAGCATTTTCACATATGGTAATATTACTAGTATTCTGTTTCTTAGCCGATTTCTTTATCCAAAACCAAACACTGAGGAGGTAGAAGAGGTGAGATCAGTTGATGGAAAATATGAATTGTTTACTGCTGTTGATGACACCATCATGAAGGAACTCAGAAAGCTGATGACGGAAAGTATGAAAGTATTCTAATAGTTATTCTTTTACAAGCTTCATCTGTATTATATCGAAAGGAAAGGAAAATATGCTCTCATACACATAGTGTTTTGTGACACATATTTTCAGCATAATTTACACTCTTTTGAATATTTCAATTATCATTGTTATTTGAAATGTGGCTTTTTACATGTGATATTGGTGGCTACAAAAATCTTAGATGATAAGAATTCATTCCAAAGATTAAACTTGAATTAATACTTTAAGTTCTCATACATACCTGCTGTTTCCACATCACAAGTGGACATTCAGAGCCTCTTGGCTGTAAAGGATGTTATTTTTGTACCTATTTACAAAACAGAATGATGCAATATCATATTACTAATTGCTTTTAAGAGACAGTTACCAGATTACATATTTACACTAATTGATTCTATGCTATGTTTCTGAAAACGGAAAGTTTCTAATAGTTAATACTTCAAAGCACACCAGTAAATGATATTGAGCAACTTATGAGACCAGTTACATTATTTTCATCATGTTTATACCGTCTTCATCAAAATCAAAACAATGATCGCTGTCATTATCACCAATGGCATCATCTTCATTATCATTGCTATTATAATTATTATCATTACTGTATTGTCATCTTCATCATCATCATTGTCATCATCATTAACCATTATTCAATCAATCACATTCTTACTATCAGAAACAAATTCACTATATAATGTTAGTAATGACTTTAAACTTTTGTGTATATTTTCTTCTCAGGCCAGACAGGGAGTGTTCATACAGACACGTTACTTTCAGGCTCATTAGCAATGGCATTGTGCTGTATCCTTTTTAACTTAATTACATACAGGCTCTTGAGAAATGGCATTTTGCTGTATCCTTTCTAACTTTATTACATATAGGCTTTTTAGAAATGGCATTGTGCTGTATCCTTTTTAACTTTATCACATACAGGCTTTTTAGAAATGGCATTGTGATATATCCTTTTTAACTATATTATATACAGGCTCTTAAGAAATGGCATTGTACTGTATCATTTTTAACTTTATTACATACAGGCTCTTTAGAAATGGCATTGTGGTGTATCTAACTTTCATCCTTATATACAAAATTGTTAGTTTCTTAACAAATTTCTTTTCATTAGATATTCACAAACTTGAAAAACAGAATAAAGGTATACTGCCAACATTTTCCTTTTCAAAATTAAAATAAATAAAATTAGTATTCTTATACATTTAGGATTATGTGTGTTTATGATGTTTTATTAAATATTTTAATATTCCTGTATATGTTTTATATTTTTCTTTGTTCTTCAGTGATTTTATTGTATTGTTTTTTGTTTTTTTTATTCCAGTTGGAACAAAATCAAGATCAAGAATTCTTGTGAGTAAATAAACCACAGAATATAATGTGAACCATTGTTATAGTAGATAGTGATCAAACAAGCTGTACACTATCGATAAATCAGTGCATGGAATGAGATAGGAAAATTACATTGAAGGTCAAATGATGATGTAATGATTGATGTATAATTACTAATTATTGTTTTCTTACTATTTAATTGCCAGGTTATCAAGGCCTCAGATGATAGTGCTTCTCAGTATATGAATTTTATGAATGTTATTTTTACTGCACAAAAACAGGTAGGTATTTCAGTATTAGTAATAGATCAAAACAAGTAATAAAACGTGACTGCTAGGCCAACCATTCTTATTTCGTATAGGAAGTATATATTGTGTAATTATTTTTATTTAGTTTTTAATAAGTGATTGATTGAATGATTGATTTGTTGGTTGGCTGATTGATCTATCGATAAAGTGTTAAAAGTTAATTAATTTCTTGAACGATTGATTCCTCTATGATTGATAAATTTGTGGATTGTTTGTGTTTGATATCTTTTCAGAATGTATTGATTGATGCTTGCATTCTGGGTAATGACTCAGGGTTGTTGCAGCAGGTAAAAATATATAAAAATTAAAAAAACACCATTTATATATCATGCTCTGAGCTGTCTTTGACAGTTACTTAATGATGCCACTACAATGGATTATAAAATTTAGTTTACATTACAGTCTGTAAATAGAACAAGACAGTGTACTCCTGTTTGTAAATACGCCACTTTCCTAGTTACGATGGAAATTGTCAGTACGGAGTCCGCCCACTAAGTGTGAGTTTACAGGAAGTGTGCCCTCTTCAATGGTATGATGCTGAAAAACAAGGAAATCTACTGTCCTCTATGAAAGTACTGTATCATGTGGAAAACAGATAAACAAACCATACGCGGTGCAGTGCTGGGTAATTCAATGGCAGCAGGAGTCCTCTACTGGCTGCATATGGCGTATGTTTGTTTCTCATGGAGCGTACTAGGCTCTCTTGTTCTATCTATACTCTGTGATATTACTTACTGTAGATAAAAGCATTATTTTTTTTAAATGTTAGGAGTTTTATTTTACATTATGTGGGTCTTTATAAAAAAAAATATCAAATCAAATCAAAATAAATATTTAAAAAAATGTAATTGCTTAATTATTATTATTATTTATAATAAAAATAACATGCAATACTGGGGATAGACCTACTTTATGTACTTTCCCACCCTCATAACAGCCTTGCATTGTTAACATTTTAAAATAAATCAACCTAGAAATGTTTAATGCACAGCCTCTTGTTCAGCCTTTGTTGTGGTGTACAGAGCTAATATGGCTTGCTTAAAAGACAATTATTTTGTTTTTGTTTCGTAGGCTTGCGACATAAGCCATGGAATCTACCTCAAGGTACCACAGGTGAAAGGATTAGTACAGTATTTATTGGTGAGTATTCATCAAATTTTAAATTCTACTTAGAGTACTTCCGTGCCAACAGAAGGAGCGTGTGGCGCAGGCGTGTAAGGTGTTGGACTTCTGATTGTGAAATCGGGAGTTCGAGACCGACACTCGTTGCATTGCTTGTGTCCTTGGGCAAAGCATTTTACTAACGTTTGCCTCTCTCCACCCAGGAGTATAAATGGGTACCTGGTAGAATGGTATGGCATTGAATGTGTGGGTCGTGCGCTTCCCCAGGAAGCAGAGAAAGTTGCACAATGTGCGGATCTGCCAATTTAGTATCCAGTGACCTGGGAAATAAAGATGCCAGTGCCCTGTATAATCGCTTGTAAAATCTGCGGATTGTGAAAGGCCCCATATAAATTGTGGTTCTATAAACAAAACAAAAAAAAAACCTCAACAAATGCTTTACACCATGGGTCATATATTTTTAGAATGTTGCATATTGACAGATAATCATGAGAAATGAAAAATGTGCGATTGTAAAGACCATAGCTTAAATTTATTATTTTGGGGCATTGAGACAGCTGTATTACGCGCCTTATAGATCCATTGATTGATTGATTGACTGTTCCTTAAAATATTGTTTTGTTTTATTTAAATTTTTATGGATTATATATTTTATGTATGAGTGTTATGATATTCTGTATTTTATTGTAATGAGGCCCGCTATGATCATCTTTGTTGAAGAGCCACCCTTGAGGAATAAGGTTCAATAAGTTCATTTTTTATTCTTGCAGTGGGTGTTTCTCCCCTCTGCTAGTATGCGCGATACTCTTGTGCTACCCCCTGCTGTACAAGTGGACTACCGAGCAGCCTGTTTTTGTCATAGGACTTTGATTGACGTTGGCTATGTTTGTTCGGTGTGTTTATCAAGTAAGTGCAAATTAGACCATTGGATATGGTTGCACAATAGCAACCTTTCTAATCTTAAACCAATCATATACTATCAGATCTTTGCAGATATTTGACAAACAAATACTGTTTCTTATGCCTGTTAGAAGGCAATGTTCTATTTTCAAAGTATTGGTCACAACCCAAAATAGGGTTGTTTGACAGTCATCTGACATTTATGTACAACAAATACTCCCTCGGTGGAAGCTACGGGAGCCCAGCATACTGATGCCGAGGTACCTGCGTGACACGGTAATAATGGCGACGCTATCTCAAAATCGAGGGTGTGCACCTTCCTCTTCCCCATTGCGTTCGTGTCTGTTCATTAATTTAATTTTAGTTTCTTTGTGGAAGGTGCTAATGAAGTACATGTCCATTGACCATTTACCAAATAAAGAAAAAAAAGGTAAATATATAATTACAAATTTGGAACCCACCTTAAAATATGGATGCAATAAGTGTACTTAGGGAGTCGCGAGTCCTATTTCACGTTTGAGTGTAAAATCAACAGAGTGGCCTTATCACTAATAATAATTGTCAAGATCACAAAAAGCATCCATCCTATAGTATTAAACTTATATTTGTACATTACTGCCATTGCAATACTGACTATAGCAATCGCAATGAAAGACCTGTATTGCTCCCTTACACTGTTGGAAGGGAACTGCAAGTACATTTGATATACAACAGCATGCATCATGAATATTCCTAACTTTGTTTATTGATTATATTGATTATATTTTCAGTTTTTTGTCAATTTAGCCCGATTTGCTCAACATGCCAGTAAGTACTTCAAAGTGTTGCTAATTAATGTTAATTAAATTTAATGTTGTCAACGATTGCAAAATATTTAAGCTAGTAGAAGTAGCAGTATCATTTTATGGGAATTTTCTAGGAAGTATCATGTTTCTTGTATATGGATAATAAAGTGGTGGATAATAACCCATTGATGGCTTTTGAAGCAAATATATATTGAATTGAATTCTTTCTTTCTTTATTTGCCTTTTTCAATAAAAGTTTTATAAGTCACTTATGAGAAAACATAACAGGCAAATTAGGAAACCAAAAAATAGCTTGAAAGCTAATCAAGTTTGATTTCACTCATAAAATTAAAGGCTTACACTAATACATTTACATTTTCATACCGAAGAAATACATTTACTTCCTTATTTGTTGTATCCACTGTAAATATATCCTTTGCTAACTTGTTCTTTATACTGCCCTCTCTCATTTAATCTAGCACTGCATTCAAGTTCATGGGACTACCATCAACAAAATCAAAGAAGAAAAAAAGTAGCCTTGCAGTCACCAGTTGATAATAAATCCTGCCGGGACAATTTAGTAACTGTATTTTTTTTTTAACTTGGAACATATTGCTAGTGCAAATGTTGGCTATTTGCAGCCATGAAAGTTAACAGCAGTCAGATACTGAAGAGTAACTGCATATAGGAACGAAAACCTATTCATACTGCTGAGATTGAGATTTAGAGAACTAAAATGCTTGAAGAATTGTGCGTACAAGGGAATTGAGGTACTGTTCTCAGAATTAAGAGCGATGTTATTAAGATATTGGGGGTGGGAGAGAGGTAAGTATTAGATGTTCCTGACCAATGAGCCACCAAGAAGGGTTCAGGGAGGGAAAGCCCCAGAAAACAATGACAATTTACAAGATTTCAAAGGCTTATTCAATTTTAAGGTCTCATTGATTGTAAAAAAATATTCAACAGATTTTTTTTGAGTTTTCTAATGTGGGGTCAGCTCTCTATACTGGCACCACCACAGCCTCTGGTTTGGTGGCTCATTACTATCTACAAAGTACATCACCTCCTTGTCATCTCCATTGAATATATAATATCTTTTGTCAACATAAACATACATGCCGATGATGATGAAAACCTGTAGGCCTAAATACACTTTTGAGTATATTTTTACTAGTAGTTACAGGATCACTTAAAAGAGTAATGCAAATTACTGTCTTATGCAGTGTAAGAAGATAACAAAAAGTATATTCATATTATTCTCAGTTCTTAATTTCATTTTACAGTATTGTCTATATCTGTACTGTACTGTACTCTGTGGGAGTGACAAACTGATGGGTGCTATTAAAATAAAATACATGTGTTATAGTTTTTTAAGTTTGTTGGCATTTCTTGGTCGTCCATGTGACTAAAGATCAAAATAACTTTTTGACAATTGTTACCGCTTTGTTATTTTTGTAACAAAAACCGAACTCCAGAGGAAAACATTTTTTGTTATGTTGTACTGATTTTTCTGTGACATAAAACGTAATGAGGTAGATTTCTGAATATTTGAAAACTGAGGGGGTGGGGGGGGTTGTGTAATCATCCCTTATTCTCACCTTTTTCACCAGTTTTTAAATATTCAAAAATCTGTATCTCAATAACTGTTCCGATTTTTTCGTCAAACACCTTGTTTGTGTCTTAGAAAAATGTGTTGTACAAGTTTTTCCCCCTTATGATCCTGGCTTTAACAATCCAATACACAAAATCATGCTGGATTCATTCATATTATTTTCAGATATTCTTAAGCTCTGTCCAAATTTTATCAAATTTTCTTTGACAAAAAACTGTTGTATGCCCTTATATAGTCATGATGTGCCAAATTTTATCAAATTTTCTTTGACAAAAAACTGTTGTATGCCCTTATATAGTCATGATGTGCCTATATATGGTCATGATGTGATGTCATCATGACCATATTTAAGCATGTCACATGTTTTTGCCAAATAAAATTTGATTGGTTAGGGCCAGGAAGACACATTTCATGTATTTTTGTATATGACTGAATAAATTGAACCTTGATGGGCTTTAGATTAATGCTGTCATCACACTCTAATAATAGAGTCAATCATAATATGGTTGATAGTGGAATTATAATTGCTCACAATAATCACCATCACATGATAAACAACAATGTCACATGATGCATTCTCACATGATCAGCACTGAAACAGACTGACACAGGAATCACCTTGGCCTACTTCACTATCACAGGATGTCTGTTTTCACAATATTCATCTTGACACAATTACAATACATATTCTACTGGTTTTGTTTTTTTTTCAATTTATTTGATTCAATGAAAATTAATATATTTATGTTTTAGCACAATGTACTTATCAATGAGGCTTTCCATCGCAAAACCAGCATCTCTGTATACAATGCTTCCACATTCTCAGGCTAATTCCTCGGTTTAACAATTAGCAATAGTACGCTGGTTTTGGAATGGCAAGCCTTATATGGTAATTCACTAATATGATAACACACGTAATAAAGTATTAATAAGGATATATATCTTTAATATCCATAATCACTCTAACCTGTAATTAATTTTTAAAAAAATACCAAACACATTTACCAGGGTCCCAAGTTGAGAGAAGTTACTGGTTTAATGAACCTTTATGACACTACACGATGTGTGGTATTAAATACCTCCTTGATTTCGGGGAGACTAAACTATACAGCAGTAAAAGCAAACAAACATTACACATTTGAAGGAGATGAGTTGGTTTATGTGAGAGTCTGGAGACAATACCGATTTCCGGGAGGCCCCCCTCCCCCCATGACTTATGGGAAGCTTGAGACACCTTCAATCAGCTTTGTTGATGTTAGTATAATATATCGTCTCCATCGGAACTTGTACTAAAGACTTTTAATTATTACTCAGTTATTATGTAAAACTGATTATTTTCAACATTTGAACATGTTTTTCTCAAGGTATTTTTCAAAATACAAAAATAATTTATTAAAACCAATTTTAACCTTTATTTGTATATTAAATTTGTATTTGGTGATTGTAGGACAAACCATGTACTATTTTTAATACACTGGATTCATTATATAAAAATACATAGAAAAAAAAGATGTAAGAGAATGGCAGATACTGTACAGTAATTTACTTTATTTTTGGTCTTTAAAAAACAAATAAGGAGAGTGTATTCACTGGTTTGGATCCCTTTGGATAAGCATGCTATCCATGTTTTTCTCATGTGTATCTGGTAGGTCAAGCTGTAATATAATTATGATACACCATACTCAGCTCCCTGAGTATGTGGTCCAAAGGACTCAAATGACCTGGGTAGTACTATGAAAAACATGAAAAAAAATAGGAATTCGAAATAGAGGGGGGTGGGGGAAAGAGGGACATATATTTCCTCCATGCACAGACTGACTACCAGAGCCCCACCATGGTTAGGGCTAAGGTAATTTTTATGATCATGGCACCTCTAGATGGCCAGATATGGCACTCTCAGACCTAAATTTAATTATAATTTTCCTCTTTTCTTGATTTTAAAATATTATTAATTGCATCACTAATAAGACCATTATGTATTATAAAATTAATATTACAGTATATCAACTTGAAGAAACTATCCCTATGGGTTGGTAAGCTTTAATGGTAGATTGTTCATTACTTATCAATCCTGGATCAATCATAATCAACTTTAACAATTTTTAGCATTCATAAGATCTTTTCTATCATTCTGAAGTATTACTGTAAATTGTATAAATGGTTGAATACAAAAAAAAAAAAAACGATGTAAAAATTCAACATCAAAAAAGTATATACATAATTTTTTTCTATTAAGACAAAAATAGAATTGAGTGGTGCAATATTAAATACAGCATTGTGGTATGCATAACCTTTTACAATATATAGTAATTAAAAATACAATTACTGTAATACTACCTGGAAATAAGTCGCATATTTCAGTGCAATATGTAATATGTTAAATAGAACACTCTTCAATCAGTTATCCATATTTACTTTTACAACAATTTAGAGTCAAGATTACTTAACCACCCTGACCATACCAACTCAAAACAACATATTTCTATAAAAAAAAAAAAAAAAAAAACACTATGGAAACTGACTGAAAAAATGCAATAATAAAATTCCTAAGGAAAAAAGAAAGTAAAATCGGCTGTTTGGTCTCATTGATTTGAATCAACTACAAATGGCACGATGCTGCAGCTTTTAAGTATTAATAATAGTAAAATATTTGATTTACCCAAAAATAACACCTACAAGAAAATAAGTTTGTCAAAAATTGACATAAGCAGAGTAGCCATCCAGGAACAATAATCAACATATTAAGAATTAGGATTGATTAAAGCAGAGTTTCCATAAAATCGGTAAAGTGTTTTCACTGAAATTGCATAGCTGTCCCTGACACAATCAGGGAGCCTCCCCAATTCTACTGACCAATCAGCACCATAGACAGCTGTCTGTAATAGTGTGTAGCAATTTTATGGAAACCCAGTCTAAGACAAAACAGAGATGTACATTTATAAAGCCTTTGAACCTCAGTAGTATAGCATAACAGAATTATATAGTTCAGTGAATTTCGGAAGAGCAAATCATGTTAAATACGTATATATCTAATTAAAACTACAAGCAATATGGAGCCCATCTTTTGAGATAGATAATTTAAAAAAAAAAACCATTATGAACTAAGTAGGAACCTTCAAAGGTGTTTTATCATGTATATCAGGTACTGTAATAAAGTTCCCATAAAATATCTTGCTATCATAAGCATGGCAACACCTATGAACAAATACAAATGAAAGTATTCTGCTGGTAAGTTTTTATTAACAATTGTTAATCAAGGTTAGAATGCAGTGACAGATCCAGAAATTCAAAATAGAAGGGGTCCAAGGAGGGACTGTTACTGATGAGGGTCCATCATCATTGGGGCTGAGGTACAAATGTTTGTGGCTGTAACACATGTAGATGGCTGGAAATGCACTTTTAAACTTGAGTTTAAAAGTGGTTATTTTCTATTCTTTGACTAAATCGTAAAATTTGGCAAGTTGGATCTTTAAAAAATTACGACTGTATGCCCCTTACAAGGCTGTTAAAACTCACACTATTCACTAAACTGCAATTAGAGCAAAATAAAGGGGGTGGTGCTCAGTGGGACCTGTAGCACAAGGGGTGTTCCAAAGCACACCATTCATACACTGCGGTGTTATTTGATTGTGTTTCATGTTAGTGTTTATGTTTGCGAGTAGAAAGAATTAGCTTGTTTATCTTTGTTGGGCCTCCTCCCAACAGACCTCTCTAATTTACAAACAAACCATGATTGTAACCGACTTTTATACTGATATTCAATTTAATTTACATAGGTTTTATCTGCGCATAAAATAAGGCAAATAATTCTGAGAAAGTGTTAGCACTTGTATTATTACTTATACACATTTATAATGCTATACAAATACATACTATTCTTAATACCACAACAAATGCCAATATTTTTGACAAAACCTGCAAAATAAATATCTATTGCATCATATTTCTGACAGCTACTGCTGAAAATTTGGTTGAAATAAATGGTTATGTAAAAGAGTTTGGCATTTGTTTTAAACAACTGTAGTCATATTTTATATACAGTATTACTGAAAAATATTTCCACATACTTCCAACAAATTTCCAACATTCATCCCATATATTTTATAAACATATTTGAAATGTTAGTGGTAAAATGATTGGTACATAATTTCAAATTCACAAAAAACACTACAATCAATTACTGTATTATATCATTTTTTTTTTCATTTTCTGGTAATGGATATATTTCATAAAGTACATAAAATGCTGGTTAATAAGGGATAGTTCCAAAATGTTTTTGCCAAGGGGCGTGAAGCCATATGCCACTGAATGGCCTTGGAAAATTGAAACACTTGCACATAGAGACAAGGTACTAGAGTATTCACATGCATTCAAATTGTTGGTGCCGCATGTTCATGTGACAGTTCTTAAATGTTCAGTATATAAGAGAGTAGGCACACTACATACAGCCACTCACAGTATGAAGACCAGAGGATGTTTTTGTATTTTTAACGAAGATCAGGATTACAGTAGCCTTGTTTACATGGCAGGAGATCATCGTGATGATCAGGTTTATCCGATGATATAGGTGCAAAGCGGCTGTGTAAATGAATCAGTAACCGCGATGATCTAAAGAGTTACCTCTACATCTCAGCAGTGTTAACAGAGAACATCGGCATAATCTTTATGCAAATTAACTGCTGTTTGACCTCTCATCACAGAATTCACTGTTGATAAACAGTGTGAATACGATTTATTATTTGCAGAACAGCAGTTAAAACTTACGTTTTTATCAATTACATACATTTTAAAACTTTTTTGACAAATGGATTCAAACAAGCAGCAATGCGCACATTTTTTTCAGGTCAGTTCTAATCACGTGACTTCATGGTACAACCAATGATTTTTTTTCTATACTAGAGATGATTAGTGTTACTTATCTGACAGCAAATGGCCGTGTAAACATGGCTAGTGGCAATTGGTTTTTAACGTCTTATACATTGGTATGATGTAGTTTAGGAACTGGATGAGATTATATTTTTGCAATATATAAGTACTGTGTCCTACATGTAGAATTGGTCTTAGATTTTCTTTCCTCAACGGTACCATACATACCACAATTATTTATGTGTTACTTAATGAAACTTGCATTTGCATTAGGTCAACTGCAAGGTTTACAGTCCTTTTTTCAGCCTTTACAGGCATCTTGAGATTCATATTTTAAAAATTTGCTCTGAACCCCTGTCGGTATCTTGGACATCTCATGGAGAAACCTGGGCCACCAGAGACTTCTGGCACCACCGCTGATTCATGTTAATTTAATGTAGTATACTTATGGTGTAATTAATATTATCTATGCACGTCAGATATTTTCAAATATATATATATATAGTTTTAAAAAAAATAAAAGTAATAATCGTAAGGCCAAAGAAGGTAAGTAATAATTATTCAAGTCCCATCAACCAAAATATTGAAAATTAAAAGATTTTTTCCCCTCTTAATGATAAACCTAAAAAAAACCCCCCAAACCTTTAAGCTATTATATAACATTGGTAGATTACCCTTGAATTATTTGTAGCCTTGTGTTTACCATTTTACAGGCAAAATGCATTGGGTGTGTGTCGGTTGGTCATTAACAGACAAAAATAATTCCCGATTAACTGATAATGATTTCAAATTATTGTTACTGTGCATTGGCTACAAAAACATTTGTTAAGGCTATTGATGATAACCATGATGACTGTAAAACAATATAAATTTCTAATAATAATAACAATTTAATGGGAATAAATACAATACAAAATTGTAATGGATTAATTAAAAAGAAGATAGTACAATATATATAAAATAGTCACCAATATCTTATCTAAAGCTAAGCGCTAATAACCATGGTATGCAAATTAAGTAGTGGTCTACTGCCCTCCACACAACTAACATTTCAAGATGCTTATTTGTTATTTAGAGTTACCCTTTGGAAACTTTAAAAACAGAGAAAACGCTGAGTATTCTCATAATCTATAGTAAACAGTCCCAAATTTTTTTTTATATGAGTCTTAAATGGGATGCATTCAATTTGAATGGATATTCAGTGACTGCTATTTCAAGGAAACTCTGTATCAAACCAAGGAGGTACCATATATATTAAATGGCATATAAAAGAACAATATCCCTATATAATGCTGTCGTCAGGGGTCCCGAGTTGGAAGAAGTGATTCCCGGGAAGTCTGGTTATAAGCTTTCTTAAAACATCCAATTTCATATTGCTACACATAGTGATACCCATCAGCGCTGACTTCCGTGAGACAACTGACAATAAAGTGAGAACATGCAAATGTTATAAATTTGTGGGAGATGGGTTATTTTGCAAGAGAATCTTTGTTGCTTGCTTGCCAGAGACTTCCACAAGACTTGGGACCCCTGCGCTGTTTGTAATTGCCTTAATTACCAATGTGCTTCCAGACGTGTTGCCACCTTTTCGATGAAGGATATGTGACTGGCATAGAGGTTGAGATCCGCGCCTATGTCTGTCCAGTGGACATCAGCTGCGTCGTCACCAGCATATAATTTAAACTTTCCAACACTATTTCCTGTGTCATCGTGGAAGTTGACAGCTACGGTTTCCATCCAGGAATTGTCGGTGTTCCTTGGATCATCAACATAACCTCTATAAACCTGGAACAAGAAACAGTGTTTTTTTTAAACAAAATTAAAACAGCAAGATTCATTTAACTTAATTTTAAAATTATCATACTTAATGAAAGTAGAAAAATACTGTACCTCAATTCCATGTCTAAATAATTTGGCGACCTCCTTTTCTATAGCCTTCTTTTCTTTGCCCGTTGCCTCAAGTGAGTTCATTGCTTCTTCCCCAAATTCTCGTTTTAATGTAGCAGAGATTGTGTCCCCAGCATCTACCATACCCTGTGTATTAATAATAATTTTGGGGGATTTAAACAGTTCACCAATGAAAGCAACAGACAGCAGTAGATATTGATTGGTAAATAGAAATCTGAATTGTATCTAATAATCATAGCAATGAAAATACAAAAACAGAAGCTATATCGTAACACAATGATTAAATAGTAGAGTATACTACCATACCATAGAGTAACCCGTAAAAACAAAATATGGCACTATTCAGAATTATTTACTTAATTTAGAAGTAAACTGTTGTTGGTGATGATAATAGTGATGTTGATGATATTGATGATGATGGCGATGATGAAGATGTTGGTGATGATTTAATATGACAAGGAGGGAGATGGCAATGGTGATTATGACGATGTTGATGAAGTTGATTAATTTGGATGCTGATAATAATTTAGTTGATGGTGATTAAAACTCACCCCTGGGATAGCCCAAAGTCCGGAATCTTTTCTCTTAATTGCTACAAACTGTAAAATATCTTTGCCATCTGAGTGTTTAACTTTCTCATTATTGGCTGTTCTCTTCCACCTGTGAAACACAAAACAACATGAATTGATATCATTTGAAATATATTTCACACTCAATATACAAGACAGGCAGATAAGGATCAGCCTATGTTTATTATACAACTGATTAGCAAGATAAAAGGTCACACTGTGTTACTAATCTGTAGGAGGATTTCCTGTTGCCAGACTGCAGGTGGAACATGCAATAATCTGTATCAACACCATAATTAATACTATACCTCTTATTCCATTCACTTGAGAAAAACATATTTTCCACAATCTGATTGCCATCTAAGCTATAAAGCCAAGCTGGTATTATTCCCTCAGTTTTTCCCATTAAGAAATGTTGTTTTTCTTTTCTCAATGTATTACGTAATATGCAATGAATAATATAGATAAACCACATGATAGATACTGAGTGTAGTAAAGGTGTTTCTCCATACTAAAGCACTATCACATGATTTATATTTATAAATATCTCTGCAAACATTACATCACCTCCTCAAGTGCAATTTAGAGACTGGTACTTTGTTATCAGTTGAATTGAATTGAATTTTTTCGATGCTCATATATAAAATATAAAATATAGAGGTACAATATAGGAATTTTTTTTTACAATCATCAAAACACAATGAGCATCTGGAACACCCATTAGGCCGGGAATCCAGCCCATTTCCAATGGGGTCCAGTGTTATTGCAAGTATGTGGTTGAGAAAACGGAAAAAGGGAGGGGGGTTTGATCAAGGTGCCCAAGCCGTCTGATAGGGGATCTGAAAATTTAGGCTAATTTATATTATCATATGTATACTGTTTTCTATGGAAAAGTACGGTTATTTAAAGTACAGTAAAGGTTTTCTTTTTTTTTTTTTTAAAGGTTAAAGGTTATTCATATTACATACCACTGTGCCAATATTCATATTCAATTGACCTTTCCGCTAAATCCCACCCTTTGGATATCGTTGCTAAGGTCCCACAAAACAACATTGTAAATGTATGCGTATTCCCAAAGATACTACAAACACAAGATAGAGTTCTCCACAGAAAAAAACTGTTCCACTGAAATGCATAGTGGGAATACAAACAATGGGACGCCCCTTACGGCTGGATCTAAAAAACTTCTGCCAAACTCACATAAACAGTAACGGTGAATACATAACCACCTTTTGTGGAGGTGGAAATCGCTGCCATTATCCATAAGATACAAACAAGTAGGCATAAATAAACCAAAAGAATAAAATGACAGACACATGTTATTAACACTTGTAACACTGCCAGTGGAATGTAATTTCTGAGTTTTTTTCAGACAATAAAATTATCTTGAGAATAGTATGACTGGACTCTGATTAATGATACAGTTTCCATCATTAGTGGAAAGAGAAGGGCGCTGTGTACATCTGGATTTACTTAGCAACAGAAAGGTGCCCTGTACATCTGGACCAAGTATAGATAAACTATTGTAAAAAAAAAGACTAACAGAACAGAACTATTGTAAAAAAAAAAAAAAGAGAAGGGTGCTGCGTACGTCTAGACCAACAGAACAGATGTTTTTTTTTTTCCTATGTGAGTGCTCTATCTTGTGTTTTTAGTATTTTTAGTATTCCTCACAATGTTCTGATTGGTCGGTTGTTTAGTTTGACTGACACTCCGGAAAGAACCATTATTAAACAATAACATTCAATACTTGAACTTCTTACTTTTGTATATATTATAGTAAATTATTAGCTCTCAATTAGTATTATATTGACAATGTTTTCCTCGCCAGGATATGTATTGATTTGACCTTTTACCTTGTTACAATTGGATCGGCAGCATGATTTCTTAGGAATGTCTAAATTCAGTTAAACTAGCAATTCCGTATTATATTTATAAATCTTTATAACATTATACAAAAATTAGATTTTTCTTAAAAATTGAAATTTTGCCAGGAATGGGGCTTTAATATTGTTATAAACATATGATTGGATTAACATAAACGCATACAGTGCTTTAGGCAGGCAGACAAAATAAATGATAGATGACCACCTGATGTGTTGGGCCCACGTCATCTCTACTCACGCCACTGCTCAAAATAAATTTTAATGTATTGTGACAAATTTTTAATATATAAATGATAAAAACTGTTTATAAAATAACTAACATAAAATAATAATATTAAATAAAATGATATGAATGAAATATTAAAAAGATGACTCTTCATCGTATTTACTGAATAATCCTAATTTCAGCCTGGAACACAGGCTAGACGATGAACATGTAGGATATACAGTAGGTACAATAGCAAAGGTAGCTATATACTTACAATGGAAGACTGTCCTGTAATTTATATTTCCCCATATGACTTCTGCGGTTGACCTTCCCGTCAATTTCATTGAATTTTAATTTATTCTTACTATTTTTGCTGTAGGAGATACGATATAAAAAAAGTCATGCATTGTAATGTAGTGTATGAGGAAATAAAATTTATCATAATCAGTAACATATACAAGGAAGAAATGAAATGTGAACTGTCTGTTGAAACAAGAACCTAAAGGTAATTATATTTGTTTTCTACGTAAATAAGTTATGTGACCCAGACATTTCCTGGTTCAGCCACACAGACATTCCAAAACCAAGGAATTCTGTTACCAAGGACCTGCAGGCCCCAAAATGTTTTGGTTGTAGGGTTCAGGTTTTGAGGAGCCCTGGCTATCCAGGGATGTGGACACCTCATGTAGATTATAGGGATTATGTTATCATATTAAGATTTTCATACAGTAGGTTCTGTAAATTGTAGTAGCACTGTAATTTTCATCCTTTCATTTATGAAAACTTATTCTAACTAAAACTGTGTGGTGGAGAGTGGCTTTTTGTTTCTGTTAGTCCTTGATTTTATTTTTATTACCTTGATTTTATTTTTATTATTATAGTAGTTTTTGGTTTCGGCCTAAAGGTCTAAACGCCATGTTAGGTTAAACAAGTCACTGGCTCTCACCAGTCTTTCTCTATGTTCCCAGCCAGAATGGTTAATACTGTAATAATAATAAGTGCTTTCATACGTACCTGGTATACAAACACAAGATACGTAAATATAAACAAAATATTGTTGTGATTATTTACATAATACATGCATGCAGATATTGGCAAGTTATAAAAACATCTGATTATTTTGATACTCGTAGCTACCTTTTTATTGACCAGTGGACTTGTTTAGATAGTATAGTATCTACAATAATGTACAGTGCATAACAGGCAAATTTTTAAGGGCAAAATAAAAAGGTTCTTACATTGTTTAGGGGCAGAATACTGAAGTACTTACTTAAATGCAAACCATAAATACACTCACACAAAGTAGTGATAAGCAATAACAAAAATAGGCTCCCCAGCGGGAGCGTGTGTCTACTGCCAATGCATCGGACCACACACAACCGAGTTTACGGGTAGTAGTGAAATCACGTCATATCACACATCACGAATGTGACATACTAATGTCAACTTTACACTTCCGGATTCTTACTTCACACTGTTGTGAATGTCAACTCACACTCACAATGTCAACTTTACGCTTCCGGATTGACCAGGATAGCAAAGTGTCTGCTGCCTGAGGGCAGTAGACACAAAAAAACAAAAAAAAATTAAACCAGTGTTTATACAATATTTACAATATTCTTGCCAAATAAATACAGTCCCTCCCTCATCGAAAAAACAAAAAAATAAACTGCTCGCCCTCATCACTTTTTTTGTTGTTGTAATAATTCATTGATTTGTTCTTTGTGCCCTAAATCCCTGCAAAGACTATCATATTTGACAAAAGATGCCTAAATATGGTCATGATGACATCACATCATGACTATATATAGGCACATCATGACTATATATGGGCACATCATGACTATATATGGGCATGAAAAAGATTTTATTCAAAGAAAATTAGATAGTCTGGACAGAGCATTAAGTGCAGTTGTTTTAGTCACAGGATTTAAGCCCTGAACCATGATCATATAGTGGAAACGTTAAACACTAGGCTCTAGTGTTTGAGAAAACTTTATTCATTTGGGGTAAAGCAGGATATTTGTTGAATGTTCTACTCATCAGAGATGTTGTCTATTTGAGGGTATTTATGTTTGGTCTGGGTGGGGAATATCTGTAAGACTGGATTGAGAGGGTGCTGGGTTAGGTGGAGAAGTAATTGATACGTGTGTGCCCTCAGGCAGTAGACACAAAAACTACAGGTATCCACATTTTTTTTATTGCAAAACTGGAAAATCCATTAAATAACAAACTGGAAATTCCAGAACAATATTACTCAGAAGTTCAATATAGTAGCCAATAGATGGATAGCTGTGATAATAACTGGGTTATTTAGATGTACCCCAAAACCTTGAACGTTGTACAGTAATATATGTACCTGTGGTGGATCAAGAATTTGAAGGGGCCCAGGGAGGGACTTTGACAGATGGAGGGTCTATACTATACCATGGGTGGGGCTGAGTAAGAGATTTTATGATAATGGCACCTTGAACTCTCACAGAAATAGCACTCTCACACATACATTTGAATATAAATTTCAGTTTTTTACCTTTTCCTATAATCATCAGCTGGGTCCCCCTTGAATCCACCACTATGTATACTATGTACATACATTATATAAAAAAAAATCAAAATAAAAGAAAAAAAATACCATACAGAGAATTATTGAATATTAATTGGTAATAATTTTTCATAAAATACAGTTTGTCAAAAATATTCTAATATAAACATCCAACTGAGTCATTAACATGATGATAGTACGGTACATACAGCCCTCCCCAAAACACATACTGTACCGTACATCCTACATACAACGTACCTTATATCAGGATCTGCCCATACTGGTTTTGACAAAACGTGTTCAGTAGTGAATGTAGTTGGATTATAGTCCGGCCACTCAACAGACCAGGGTACCATGTCCTCTGGCACGGGAAACCGCTTAACTTTGCTACCTGTGTACGGGCTTTGCCTTGCCTTGCAATGCAATGGTACACGGAAGGCAGATTGAGTGGTAAGTGACATCTTATCGCAGATTAAGAACTGAGAGAATATATTACCCAAAAATAACAACCTGGAAATAGAAAGCGAAAATGACAAATGAGTTTTGGAAACTTTGGACAGTTAAGTAAAATTGCCATCACTTCCTGTTGAACACAAGTAATGGAACAATACAAGGATCCAGGGGCGGATTTGGAGGGGGGGGCAGGATGGCCCCGGCATCCCCTTTTGGAAAGTTAAAAAAAAAGAAAAAATAAAAGAAAGAAAAAGAAGAATTGATCCCCTAAAACGCCTCAGAGTTTATTTTCGGGCGTCAGAAAACAAAAACTTCTTGGAGGAAGCAATCTTCCCCACTTTTGGCTCCTGAGGATCAGTGCATCAACATGCTTCATTTATCATCTGTAGATAACCGATGATAACTTTCTAAAATAAGATCAGTGACTCAATAGAGTGCATACCTCTGCCATGTGTCTGAATGCCGAACAATATGTAGGCCGTGTATTATGGACAATTCTATTAAATTATATGATGATCCATTCCTTAGTTTTTATTTATCTTGTTGACAGACAAGCAGATGGACAGACAGAAAGGAGTGATTACATAACCTCCTTGGCAGAGTTTAAAAATGCTAGCAAAGCCACAGGTGCAGTGGTGGTGCCAGAGGGGGGCTGGGGGGCTATAGCCCCTCCCCCCCCCCTCAATGCCTACCAAATAATTAATAAAAATTCACCATAATTTATCAAATATCTGTGGCTTCCAGGGAGCTTCGCCCCCTGGATCCCCACTGGGCCCTAGGCGGCCCCCTGGCCCCCACCCAAGTGAGACTCGATTCGCTCCACTAGCCCCCCCGTCGGGGCCTTTAGCCCCTCCGTCGGGCAGGTCCTGGTCCCGCCACTGCACAGGTGTGCAATTGGGCAACATGCAGACCGACAGAAATATTGTTGCTGTTCATGAAAATAAAAATTAAGGACCTTATGTGTGTGGTCCTTCAAATGCCTTGTAGTTAAGGCCCGTCACTGGCCATCTGTATAAAGTATATTAAATCTTCACAGAAATTAAGCTAAATTTCAGTTTAGCCCTCTAATCCATTTCTATGCGCAACCATGATAAAAATTAAAGACAGGCATCACACTTATTATAATACAACAAAATACACTGTACTGAACCTTGAAATTCATTACACAATATCTCACCATGTTATACAGTAGTTCTTAACAATAATAAAATGAACATAGCTACATAAAAGCGTGTAATAGCAGTTTGTATTGACCCATAGTGAAGCCTGTTAAACAAAGCGCCTTACACCCTTTTGTTAAAGTGGAATGACCTGTAACTGTTGACACATATTGTACTGATCGGATCAATGCATAGCAGTTATTATAATTAAATTTACTATACCGTATATATTCTTACCAATATGATTTTGTACTTGATATATTATCAATCATTTGATCATTCTGATATATTTCTAATTTCCTTGCAGGAAAATTGTCAATACATTCACAATTTTCATTAAAAAAAGATGTATTCTGTAATTCCAGAAAAAGATAATATTATTTTTCTATAACCCATGCATATTGACTGAATCATAAAATACTGACATACAAAACTGAAATGGAATTTGAGACACTAGCTAAAAATGCTTAGTCTAGGCCCTAAATGCTATCAAATCCATCGGTGATAAGGTGCATTTGGGCAGATTAATTATTACATTTGGCATCACAAAAATAATAAAAATATCAAATTTCAAAATAAAACTAAGTAGAACGCACGGTATGGCTGATACGTCTATATATCAATGACAACACTTTCTAAATTGGAAACATAGTGAAAATCAAAAAGGAAAATCTATAATTCATAATACATTTAAGCTTGGCTTTTATTGTAGAAGTTTATGGTGATGATAGAAGGTCAACTTGCCTAAAAATTGAATCCAAAATGGCATTGAAACATTAGATAAAATTTGACTTACAGATTGTTAATTAATAGAAAACACTACAATTTGAAATGTAAAATAAGATTGACACTACAAATTATTTGAGTTAGGCAAAGTCGACTTATGCAAGTTTAACTTTATACCAGATGAAACAATACACAATGAAAGATTCTGACTATGGATCATCAGGGAACAGTGTTTCCTGGAATCATGAAGTTATCCATCACCATTTGGGAGGATGCAATTGTTTACCATGGAACAGATCATCTATTGTTAATTAACTGTTTGTTTGAAAGAAGTTCTGCCCATAAAATGTAATGATGTAATAGTTAAAAATATTCATAATATAATTATACTGAGATTTACAAGGACATGGATGTATGTCTAAATCAGAGAGTAGGTACTAGTTAACACAGTTCGAAGATGCTGTGTTATTATAGGCCTATTATTACTACAGTATCGGACAATTTTATTTAAATCTATGGTTAGCAACCATTGAATTTTTATTCCTATGACCCACATGTTTTTGCCATAGTTTCCCACGACCCAAAACCTCTAGTTACCATAGAAATGCTATACGGTCAATTTAATATGAGGCATGTTGTGTTGAAATGGTTAAGTTGTCGCACAGTCCAGTATTGAGTACCGTATGAGCTATAAAATATGGGAGCTCAAAAAATTACCCAAAATCCAAATTTCTTCTTCTTCTTGTGCAACAGTGTAATATTATATTTTGTTTCCTGTATTTGTAGGCCTATGTTTTTCTCAACCTGTTACTAGAGGAGGTTTCTATCTCTATATTGGTTGAGAATTGAATAGGAACATACTTATTAAAGAAAGTAATTACCTAAAGCAACGTAAAGTTATTTTCATGATTAGTTTATTTCCATGGTTTTGATCTGACATTGGTTGCTAGCACATTTGTCAAGTTTTGATTTCATATGGCCCACTTTTAGGATGCGCTAGAGCTACCCTGCTGCTGGCATTAGTCTACCAAGCCTGTGTGGCCTTAGATAAGCGGTTTGCTCGGTTCAAGACTTGTTTATTTTCCCCTGCGACGAGGGATGCTATCGCGCATGTGCTAGCGATCGTCATAAGAATAGCACTGGGAGCTATCCTCACGACTCGTAAAAATAGCCATAGCGTTAAATATAGGTGCCCATGCCAAAATTTGCGTATTCTAGTAACGGCCTTGCCCTTACTAATGCTCTATACAGGGGTACAACAAATGTAGAAATGTTCTTGCAGTGATGTTCTGCTTACAACAACAATTCAACCAAGTTCTGTTGGCCTTGGCAACTACATCTCGTTTGTGGAATCTAAAACTAAGTTTCTTGGCAACAGTAACTCTGAGATCTTTCTGGCAACATCCCTCTATAGCTAGAGAGTAGACCCATCTTTATTTCCTTCTTTTTTCGACTTGCGCTGTATCCTTGGTTCATGTGTTACAGGTTTGGAGGCCTAGGCCTCTCTAATAATGCCAGCCGAGCCAGCCTGTTGATGTTGGTTACCCAACCCAGCTAGGTTACCATTCTATTTTATAAGTACAAACTAAAGAAGAAGCAAACATTCACTATAAACTTACCTCTTCGAAGATGAATTAACAACTCCGTGAATCATAAACAAGTGACTATTGCTTATAACTGTTAAGAAATATAAATTAATCTCAGGGTCATCAATCTTTCTCGGAAAATTTCAGTGTTGTTTTTGATTGTTGGTAAAATTTTTGTGTGTGGATTTACGCCTCCACAGAACTGTACCAACCGGTGTGATTGGGGGCGTGTCATAAATAACCACACACAGCAGATCATCAGTCGGTGCAAAATGTCGGACGGTAGTAATGTTTCGTTCTCAACAACTCTCCAGTATTTGGCACGCTCCCTGGCAAAAATTACACCACCGCCATGGCAAAGGGTAATGCTTATATTGAAGATTATATTATTATTGTATGTTTAAAATTTTATGTCTCTGTAGTGTATGATGAGGTTCTAGGCCTAGCCTACTCCATGCTGCTAGGCCTACTCAGTCAGTCAGCTTACTGTCTGTATTATACAGGTGAGAGAGGAATAGGCTAGCCCCTCTAGACTGTCTCTTCCTAGGTCTAGCCTAGGCCAATAGTAATGACATCTATGCCTCGACCTCTCTGTAGCGATAGAAGTTAGACCTCCCGTGTAGGGCTTCATATGCCTGTCATGAATGAATATAAGGTTAAAAGAATGAGTGTAGTTAAAAGAATTTTTGGAAATGTTACTAATATTTTACATATTGCTCAGACTAAAAAAAGTAACCCATGCACAGGGGACATGACCTCTGTACAAAGTTAATTGCCTAGAAATCTGTTTTCCGCATTTCGGAAAATAAGAGCAGACGTCTGTGCAGATTTTGCCGAAAATGAGGGTTTGACCTAAAATTATCTTAATATTATAACCTATGAGATGAACAAGGCAAAATATATGAAGTGAATGAAATAAATAACCAATGTTTTATGCAATAGTAATGATTCTGCGCACCTACTGTATTTTGTTAGCTATTTTCTGTGCAAATTTGAGCTTGTTTTTGAGGTATCATCTGCACAATTAAAATACTTTACAGTATGGTTTATTGCCAAATAAATAGTGCAGGGGCTAGGAATAGGGGCTGATGATGACATAATTAATTTAGAAATATTGAATCCCGACACGATGGTGTGCATTTCGATATTTGGAGTATGTAGTATACTATCTTATTTGGCTAGAAATATGGTGTAGGAATATAATAAAATAAATGATTAGCAACTATCAGAGCTGGACAAAGGGTGCAACCGGCGGTTAGAGGCGTCACAAATGTCCCAGAGGCATTTTGGGGGAAAAATTAAATAAAACTAAACTGTTGGGGTATAGTGTACAGATACGGTAACATTTCGTGCTGGAGGCACTTTATTTTATAAACAACTTTCTCAAGGTCAGAGGCACAAATATTTTATTATAATTTATTAAAACTGATTTATTTTAAGTTATGATTCATTTGTTAACCCTAACTTTCTTTATCATTACTGAGATAATGTGTGGTAATTTACCTATAAATAAAAATGTGTGTTTTGTATTCGAATTTTCATTTCAAAATGGGACTAGGGCTCGCTTGACCCTACATTTGTGAGTGGAATGTGTGTCAATGTGAGCGAATGCTAGTTTGAGCGGATGCATTTAGTGTAAACTATAACAAGGGTGAATTTATTCAAATCGAATGAGTACAGTATAACACCATTGTTTGTCGCACTCATATTTTAAGAGTGAAATTGTTTGGTTTTTTTTGTTAATGCCAAAATGCATTGTGTAACTAAGGTTTTTAAAATGGTTTCGGTAATTTAAATAATTATTCCATGCTAAACTTTAAATTACTATCTTGCCAAATCATAAAATATTGTTGAATAAATAATAAATAAATAAATCCAACCACCAGATGGCCACTAACAGCACAAACCAATTAATGTGCAAAAAGAAAAAAAAAATATGTATATATTTTTTTTTTCTAAAATGCCTCCGGGTTAAAGGAACCCTGTAAATGCCTCCGACTGCCGGTCGCACTTTTTCCATCCCTGCCGAAGTATGCCCCCTATGAGCTTGGTAAGTGGAGAACAAAGGTAGAATAATTTTAAACCGTGCACTTACTAATTAATTACTTATTAATTAATTATTATTATTAATTAATTTGCAAATTTCTAGCGCATAGAGACCTATGTATTTTGTGCTTTACAAATCCAAATTATTATTATTATTATTACTATGCAGGTGAACATGCAAATGACAGCGGGCGTCCTACACTGCCTGCGTAGTGCTCTCCTCAATGATCGTAGTTGGCTCTCTTGTTCTATTTATATATACTCTTTGGTTGTATTCAAGGCTTGACTTTTTAATGGCAGCTGTGTATTATGGAATATGTTATTGTTACTTAGATTAGCCAATCAACAAATTAATGTAATCAGTAAATTATGTTAAAATAACATCAAATTGTATATTTTAAATATTTGAAATAGCCATATAAGACAAACTCATTAAAAATCAATTTTTACCACCTTGGAATATTTTTCAATGCAAAAGAACCTTCTTTTTCATTCATTTAAAGTTATTAGTCATCTTCCAAACAAGAGGAAACATCATTTCAAAGAGTTTTTTTGTTATTTTTTTTTCATAATTCTCTTAATATTCTTGCCTACCCCTTTGAAAATCTGGGGTAAGATTTTTTAAATATATTTTTCCTCCAATGAAGTTTCATTATGGGGCTTAGGGGTGGAACTGTTGCGGTCTTGGGGAGAAGTCCTATAACTTGATATTAAACCCAGGAACGAGGGATTGGAAGGCAAGCATCTTAACCACTTTACATCTCCACTCATTTTGACTCTTGGCTGCTGCTGAAGGATGATGATCATCATCATGGCAAAATTTACACATTACAATTATAGTAGGATACATCAGAATTACCATGGGAATTTTATATTATCACATCTTCATTAATCATTGTTGTTTCAATTCATTTCTGCATTATAAAATTAAAAATCATTTAATAAGACTTGATTTTAAATATATATCTGCTGAGCTTCAGTTTTTCTGCTTTATCTTTACATTCACCTTACCTTTTTTTAATTGAACAAGGTGCTTAGAGACCTTGTTTATTTGCGCCTTAAAAATCGACCTATTATTATTATTAAAAATTATTATTATTATTATTATTCTTCTTCTTCTTCTTCTTCTTCTTCTTCTTCTTCTTCTTCTTCTTCTTCTTCTTCTTCTTCTTCTTCTTCTTATTTGTTGATTAGTTAATTAATGTTAATAAATATTTTAATTAAATTTGTGATAGTTTGTAATATGGATATTTGTATTCGAATTCATGTTTAATCTCCTTATTAACCTAAAGGTAGAGCAGTTAATGAAGATGTGTCCCCAGCCTGTCTCAATGGGAACAAATATTTGCAGATTGGATGTACGGAGACAGGAAGCCGTTATTGCTTTAGGAATATACTTCTTAGAATCGGATTTGCAAGTAGGTTCCATAAATTTACATTCAGAAATTCCTTTCATTAGTTACAGTAGCTGTGGTGGGAGGTTTGTAGTTGCAAATGTATGCTATACTACAGTACATGATTGGTTGCAATAATGTTGTAATTATATGAGAATATTGTGTAAATTGCATATATAAGGAATCAATGAAAAATTATTTTCAACAAGACAATGAGATAAAGTTGAAATTTTTATTTTTTTATTTTTTTTTTTTATTCATTCATTCATAATTTGACAACACAATACAAAAGCAGCAAAACAGCAATATAAATATATATACAAATATATAAACATACACAAATATACATAAATACACACAAACGTACATAAATACATACACATACATATATATATATATATAAATACACATATATACATACATATACACACACACACATATATATATACAAACATACACACATATACATACACACACAAATACAAACTCACACAAAAATAAGGTTGAAATTTAATAAAAATGACAGTATCATGTATTTGCATATTTAACCATAATTTATGAATTTTTCACAAGTGGATTAAAAAAAATATAATGAATAATACTGACGATAGACACGCATTTTAAAACTAAACAAATTGAAATAATATTCATACTGTAAGTAATAATAATACCAACATGTATAATAATATGATTGTAAAGCAATAATCAATTTGTTTATGGTTTAATGTTTATAAGGATTATGAATAGTTAATAGTAGGCCAATATTGTCGATATTATTACTGTAAAGAGCTTAGTTTCCATACAATCGCTACACGCTATCGCCAATAGCTTTCAGTTAGTCGTATCTCGGAGCCATCACAATTGCATCAGGGACTGCTACGTTAGTGCAATGATTGCAGTAAAAAACCTGTAGCGATATTGTAGCGATTTTAAGGCAATCAGGCTTTACAACTGTGAGTAATGAAAAATTGGTGATTACACTAAATCAGTTACCTAAATGAATATCTCATACTTCTTTGTTTTCAGTTTAAAGATAAGATTTTGCCATATTTGCTTAGTCTGTTGGCTGGACTACCAAATGCATTATGGGTAGAACAAACAGTACATACAACGAATGACAGTAAGTGAAAGCTATTGTAAATTTATACACTTCATATAGTTAAATTATGTCAATTCTAAAATACGTATTCTGAGTTATGATGTCTTGATTACCAAGTTTAGAAAAAATTTGAAATATGGATCATGTTAATTAATATGTTAATTGTAAAGTTTTATGTTGTCCTTTGTAAGCCAGTTGACATGTCGACAAGGACGCAAAGCCCTGCCCACAAAGTCACGAAAACCTTAGACAATATGGCGGCTAAACTTACCGAGTTACCAAGCAGTTTCGGCGAACATTTTCTTTGCTATCAGTCTTCTTTAAGAAAGAGAATTCAGGGTAGGCGGTATGCAAATGAATCATATATTCATAGTGTTAACCTGTTTCATGAAATAAACGGGGAAATTGTTGTAAAAGCATCTGTATTTCGCCCAGAGGAAGCGGGAAAAGCCGCATTCAGTCAACCTCGCTGTCAGCAAAGGCCAATTTACTGATGTGCACTGGTAATGTACGCGATTACACGTTTTAATCCATCGTTTGCACTTTTCAATGTTGCGTTTCAGCTTCGGGAACGGGATAAACTTAATTCCTCCTTTTAATCTTTCTGGATAACGATCGTCTGAATTTCAAAGTCTCCATTGACACCGTTTTACCATATTTTTATAATATATTGGTATAATAGGCATAAAGGAATATTTTATGGCATATCCCTATCTATAACCAAGCATAGACATCTAGGCCCTAGGCCTAGCTCACGTATGTTTCGCATTGACAAACAGCTGGGCGTGTCTAAAGAAATTAAAATGTCCGAGGAAAAGTTTTTGATCACATGACTAAATAACGCTCGCTGATTAGTCGGTTTATCTGTCAATCAAATCTCGTTGAGATGTTAATTGGCTGGTCTCCTTGCTGTGAATGTGATGAGAGTATGATGTCATAAAGTATAAGCTTGCCATGAGGTATGAAAAGGTTCTTTCCCTTTTGTCACAAGATGTTTTTAAGTGTTTTTAAGATTCAAGATTCCTCATTGTTTCCTCTCAGAAAATCAGTTGGTACATGATCATCACATCGCAAAACAAAGTGCAAGATTAATACAAAACAACAAACAACAATATAATTAGGTCCTAATACATACTTGATATTTTGCATGTATTAATTAAACATAAAGATATTTCAAATTTATTTATTATATAATATAATAGTTATTACTTATCTTTCTGAGCAGCCATTGATGGGTTTATGCCATTGTGGCAGCATCAGTATACAGAAAACTGTACAGAACTTTTATTGGTCTTGTAAAAGCAAAAGTACTGTATAGTACAAGAAATTACATAATTGTAGGCAAACCATATGAAAAAACCACAACAGAATACATACAAATAAATTTAATAATTCAATTATTAAACTAATAATAAAATAATAAAATAAAATAAAATAAATAAATTAATAAATAATATAAAAATAATAGTGTGTCTGTGAGATTTCTTTTTCCTGGTCCATCTGCAATGCTCTGTTTAGAAGAAGTGTTGCTGGTGACTAAAGTTTAAGATGTTCCAGTTCATAAGGTTTGAGAGCAATAAAAAAATGTTGGGATTTGTCTGATTTTTTTCCCTTCAAAGCCTTTTTCTTTTTGTAGTTATTTTTCTATTTTATTAGAAATAATAATAAACAATTGAACAATGTACGAAAGGGAATACAGACATAAGTCATCGAAAACATAAATTCAACAACACACACATTCTACTTCTAATTCTTAAAAATATATTTTATATTCATTTAAAATCCTACAAAAATGAACATGCTAGAATTTATATTATTCTTATGTTGATGAAAATGTGTCCATGTATTGCTATTAAATTGTAATAAACAGTAATTTATGTTTGACATTTGGTAATGTTTGCTACACAGTGAATTAATGTCAGTAAATGCACGTATTTGTAATGTTAACTATTCGGTTTATGAGTTTCCTATCAGTCACAGTATTTTTTTTCGTGCTTGTTAGTTATATATTTTAACAGATATCTTTTCCAGCTGTCGTCTATTTCAATTATAGTAATCTTTGTGCAGCTCTCCACAATTATCATTATCAGAAATTGTACTGTTGTCAGTCTGAGGCAGTAATTACTTTTTGAACATCACTTAATGGGCTTCCTGAATGGATTTGTTGAGTTCAGATCATTCAATATTCAATTTCACCTGTAAAAAGCATAATCAGTATTTTGGATACTGGTTTCTATCAATTTAATTGTGATATTTTTTTTTATTGCTATCTCTATTTGTGAGATAATAATTGTATCAATTATTTTTACTTTCATCATTATTATTAAACGCATTATTAACATGATAAACATTTTTTACTGTGTTGTTTAATTCATATAGAAGGGGAAATTAAAAATATTGGTTTAATTATTAATTTATGATTATTAATATATTACTATTAATACTCTCATGAAATTATGATTCAATTAGTAGGAATATTTATTAGAAAATGAAATGAAAAATTTCTGTCAAATAATGTACACAATATAAACATCATGAGAAGTAATAATGCCAACTAGATAATACTGGTTTTTATTATCCTAGTGAAAAAATAGCTGTATCCAACCCCAACCTTGTGCAATTGCAATAATTATTTTATCTTGCTGTTTGTATTTATTAAACACTACATTACATTAGCTTATTAATTCTGACTTTTTGCAGGACTGCCTATGAGTGAGCAGTTTAGTTTTTGTTTAATGACATTACTCTCTGATGTTGCTTGGAAGGACCCCTCACTCAAAGATCAGGTAATGGAATTATAACTTCTCTCTTTAACACTCTGACCGCCAGGGGTTTGAAAAAATAGTATCAGCCACCGCCAGACTTTTTAGCAAATTTTAACACTTTTCCAAATCTCGTTGGGAGTGCGTTATGTGATCAGATTGACATGTAGTGAATACTACAAGAACTACAAACATCTTAGCTTTACAGTGGTAACAAACACTTTGTTCTAATCACAATCTGTGACCCGTAACAGTAAAATGAAAATGACTCATTTTTGGAGATTTACGCAAATTTCGCACAACGAAGCTGAGATAATCGCGATTTTGTGAAAGTAATTCAATACCGCTCTACGCTAATGTCATCAAACAAATATTGAAATACTTACAGTCCAGACTGAATATAGTGTTCAAATTGTTAGTACATGTTGGTAATTACTCCATCTATCGGATTTCGTCGAAAAACCTGAAACACGGAGATCTCCGTGTTTGGCGGTCAAGCGTTGCATTACCAAACACGGAGATCTCGTGTTTGGCGGTCAAGCATTGCATTACCAAACACGGAGATCTCTGTGTTTGGTGGGCAGAGTGTTAATCAATAAATTTTATATCTTTAAGCCCCAGTGACAAATATTTTCTAACAGGCATTATTATTATTATTATTATTATTATTATTATTATTATAATGATGATGATGATGAATTTATGTCAAATTTGTGTTGAGCCTTTTGTAACGAATTTGAAATGCTTAAGACAATGCTCATTGCATAATAGTTGATACCAGCAAAGAGTATAAATAGAACAAGAGAGCCAACAACATTCATTGAGAGCGTAAAAAAACGATACGCCCATGTACGCAGCTACTGTAGTGTAGGACGCCAACTAACGCTTGTATGTGTTTTATTACCCAGTACTCCACCGCGCACGGTCGGTTTGTCTGTTTATCTGTTCTCCACAAGATACTGTACTTTTGTTTTCTGCTTACTGAGTTTATAGCGGGCGTACTTCTACCGCGCTGCGCAGCGCTGCACTGGGTAATAAAAAGAATATACAACCGTTAGTGGGCGTCCTACACAGGCGTGACCTTTTTACGAATGGGACTTTGCTCTCTTGTTCTATTTATACTCTTTGATACCAGTTTATTGATATAAAAATATGTGAAGTCTTGTAATCATTAACATCTATAATTAGTTTCTTTGCTTTGACCAAGTTTGAAGATCAAAGCAAGAAAATTGACCATTGTAGAAAAACCCTGTGCCAAAACATGTGAAAATGGGTAGAAGAAGATAAAGGATGTACGATACTAAAAAATAGCTGTACCAGGAAAAGGCAAACATTGTATTTTTGATGTACTGTTCCATGATTTTTTTGCGGTTTGGGAAAGTTATTCTTCCTTCCTGCTATCGTGTAGTACATTACATCAGGAAGATATACAGTACTTAACCATGGTAATACTATTACACAGGAAGTAGAATTTAAGTCTTTGATTCCAAGGAATGATCTGTTTTACACTTTCTTGAACTTAAAGATTATTTTTTTCCATGCTGTGCTCCCTCGAATTAAGATACTGTAGGGACACCATTCGATCTACAGTCAGTAAGTTGACATATTTAAGAAATATTTCCCTTCAGAACAAAACAAAAAAAAGTTACATGGCTCTAAGTTTGGATAACTGTCTGTGTTTTGGCCATTTATTTATTTGTTTTTAAAATATTACACTGTACTTTGGATGGAATCTCATAGGAGTTCTCTGGAACAGCAGGCTGGTGACTTTTGGTTTCTCTTAGTCTAGTCATGAACAGATGCCGTGGATCAAATCTATGGCAGGGGGAAATATTCTACATTGACTAAAATGTTAGGGTTAATCATACAAACAACTATAACACCCCTATCCCATTTAAGCAATCCATGTAATTAAATGAATGCTTATAATCTATTTTATATATTTATTATTTTATATATTTATTTCCACCAATAGCGAAGAATTTTGATAATTAATTTGTTGTCATTTCCTAGATTCTAACATAAATGATAATAATGATAATTCCGGATTTATATAGCACCTCACATTGTCACAAGCTCGAGGCGCTTAACAACAACATAAGAAGAGAAGAAAGTAAAGCAAAAACTAAATTAACGAACTATAATATATAAAACAAGAGTAGTATGTACAATTATTAGCTCGTATGCATCATATATCATTTCTTTAATCAATTTAAAGTGACTATGAAGCCAGTGGCAGCTATTTTATAAATTGTATCAGTTTAAATGAATATAGTTTTATCATCCCTTGAATAGTATTTGAATTGAAAGGATCTCTAAACATCTGCAATAACTTGAATAAACTTTGCCAAATTAATGTTAATATTGTAAGATGCATTTACAATTAAATACCCTAATAGACATTTCTGATGTATGAATGCAGCTTAGTACTACCGTAAGTGCTATTAATGTCTTTTCCTGATTTATGGTTGGTTTCATGTAATTGTAATATTATATATTACCATTACTCTGTTCAAAAGTTATCGCAGCTGGCTGCTCGCTTTCATCATCATCAGACAATATCTATTTCTTGCCATCTCAAGTGTGTTAATTATTAGATTGGCAATAGATACTTTCATGTATTTAAAGCTTATTGAGTAGGCCTAGATATGAATTAACTGCTAAGTGGCTGTTTGCATGCCTTGACCTAAGAGGCTCTTTTATTCTATCCATGAAATATCAGTATATGAAATAGAAAGAGAGTGATGAGGCTGAATTAGAAACAAATTAAAAAATATGTTTTTTTTTCTAGTGTGCAGTATTTACAACATTATGAAAAAATGAAACACGTCTTGATTACTATAGCATGATTGTATTTATTTTGATGATTCTAGATATTTTTTCTATCCATCAAATCTAGCTATCTTGAAAATAATGAATAACTTTTAACATTAATTTTGCTCTATCTAAAAACTTACTACTGTAATTTAATAAGCAAACTGAAATGACAATAATTTCATATAAAATATTTGTGGCAAAAATACAGTTCTTGGCAAAAAAAACTATTCTGCACTTAATTGTGGAGACCTTGATTAAAAAGTCAACAGATCTTTTTTTTTTGTTAATTTGTTATTTATTTTGTCCTATAAGCACCAAATTAATTGAATTATTATTATTATTATTATTATTATTATTATTATTATTATTATTATTATTATTATTATTATTATTATTGTTACTGTTGTTATTGCTGTAACTTATTCTTCATCATTTCAGATTGTATCATCACAATTGGTGGTATTTCAATTATTGGCTAAGATGTGTCAACAGCCAGCTGATCTTCAGCAAGGTAAGTTTTTGCCATAATTAACATCACTTATTTATTCATTATTAAATACAACAGTTTTAAAAATAGTTATGCAATATTTGATTTATTATTTGTCAGTTATATAATATAGTAACACATTAGTGAAATCTCTTATGATATAGGAAATTGTGTTAGCATTTATAATACAGTAAGTATACATTTATTATGTTAAAGTATAGTATTAGTGTCTACATTGACCGGCCTGTAAGCTGTTCATAAGTGTATCAACATCTGAAATGGCTTTTAATGAGAACTGCATGTTTTGAAAGGCTCTCATAGTCTTACTGTCTACATATGGAATAATGTTTGCTGAAGATTTTCCTCAGGTCTAGGATTAGTTGCCTGAAATTATGATTGATAGGCAACCTTAAAAAATTTCTAGAAATAACTTCGGTTTTTTGAGAGATTACGTAGAGCAAATTAATGTATTATTTGAAATAAATCAGCTGTAGGTCATTACTCAAGAACATTTAATTAATTGGTATTATGGTAATTTTTATTTATTGGCTTACTTTTTTAAAACAGAGGAACACTCCCACACAGGAGAGGTTCGACCATACAACAGAACAAAAGTTACAAGTAAAGATAAAATTCATAAAAAAGAGATAATAATAATAATGAAATAAAAATATTCCAAATGCAATATTAATAATATTATAGTAAAGTATAAAATCTTGAAAAAAAAGAAAGAAAAAAGAAGAAATAAAGAATTAAATCTATCAAAGTATACAATTGTACCACTATTCTTAGCCAAGAATATTCATTCGTTTGAATTGATCGTTTACATATTCACTCGCACACACTTTGCCATTCATTATACACTTTATATAACATGTTGCAGCATGCTTAATACTAAAATGCAGAATTCTATTAAGGAAAAAGTGAACATGAAATTGAATTAAAAATTGATTCTCGCTTTTCCAATTAGTTTCCTACAAAATTTAAACATTCATTTGGCTGTAGATTTACTTAGCAGATTGATTGTACAATTTGTTTTTTTGATTTGATTTATTTCCATCTCATAAACATACAAACATTAAACCATTTAATATGTAAACAGCATGAAAAACACTCAATTTAAAATTTGTTAAATATATTACAAAATAATGTTGCTTCTAAAAGATTCCATCTTAAAATAAAGTAAAACTGTTTATCAACATAAAAAATGTTTAACAACATAAAAAATAAATAAAAATAAAACCCGGCAAAAACGACAAGAACAAGAATTTTTTGAACAAGAGCGAGTAGGAAACATTCAAATAACACAAAATATCAATTTTCAATAGAAGCTATTTACTTTCCAGTGCCCTATTCCTAAAATATTCTTTCACTTTATAATTGAGGATTAAAACTAAGGAACACCCTAAGAGAATGTTTGACAAACTGTATTTACGTGAGCTTTCATAAATACCATACTTGGCTTTATGCTTTATTTTAGATTAGATGAATATTTGTGCTTGCTTGTCCAATTTCCAAATAGATCTTCAGAAACATTGTTGATAGCTCCTATACATATTAATGCAATTGCTTTGAGTTGCACCAAATGGTCCCAATGCTTACATATTTTAATATACAGTACTATTTAATTGTCAAAGAACTGATATAATTATCAAAAAATTATAATAACACTAATAATATCTAAAATAAACTGTGACATCATTTTACTCCCACCATTATTATCCTGTCCCAAACAATTTGTAATGACATCATTATGTATATGTATATGGACATAAGTCAAAGATATTTGTTACAGAAAATTTAATAGTGGGGACAGAGACTTAAAAGGGAACTACAAAGATGATTTATTTTTTCTAGAGCGGATTTTTGAATTGTCATTAGTCAATAGAATCAACTTTAAAATAGTTTTGGCAGTATTTTATGCTATACGATTTTTGGTTAAAATACCTTGCACTGACACCATGCTGCTAAAGGGGTAAATCATAATATCTACATAAAGAATTGCCAAAAAACGATTTTGAAAGTTGTTTCTATTACTATTAATGACATATCAAAAATACTCTCTAAAAAATAAAAAATTCTAGATTCCCTTTAAGGCCTGTTTACACTGACGATTTAAATCAATGATAAAATGCTAAAAAGCAATTGTTCATATAGAAAATAAAAGAAAAAAGTTTTCACACTAGCATGATTCGATAATTTAATTTAATTCTTAAAAAAGAGAATACTAATTAATTAATTAATTAATTTGGTTATATTGGACCAGAGATCAGAGTTACCTTCACTTGGTAGCTTGGGGTATCAATGTGAAAGTATTTTCAATGTCTTGAGACTTGCATGGGAAATGCATTTCTACAGAAAACATGAATGTTATAACTTTAAACAGTAATCATTAAGATATTTACCTGAAGAAGTTTTTGTCCCAATAATGCCAAATCAAATATTTATTTTCAATACAATTACAATATGAATAATGCAATATAATATGTGCACACTTGTTTCTAAATTGCTGTCTACAATACAGTATGTCTATTATTAACTATTCCATGAAACAGATCCTGGAAAATATACAGATACAGTAGAGATGTCAAGAGAAATTCTATACATTACATTGAAATAATACATTACAGGTTATGAGTTTGTAGGTTAGTATCTTGATTGATAGGCTATCAAGGGTACTTAATACTAGACCGAGTTACAGTCTCTAATATAATATAAATATACAGTAGTAATTCTAAATGACAGCTTGTCTCTAGGTAGGTTGTATTGATGCTACATGTAGATGTGTAAAAACAGATATACTTGCTCTTAGTTTTCTGTGCCTAAATAGATGATAATAATAATATTTAAATGTTATAATTTAAGTTCTCTGCTTTTTTAATAGGTTACTTGCTTTTCTCCAAAGATAGGAAGTAATGTTTTTTCATGCAGCAAGTCCGTAGAGACCTTGTTTATTAACGCTATGCAACTCTACTGCTTTAATCCTATTACTCTTAGTAATCCTGTCACTTATTCCAGGATTTTATTTTTACAAATAAAATAAAAATTAGTTTAGATTGTTGTGGGTGTCCAGTAAAATGGGTGGCTCAATTTTATTCATTTTTTAATAGACGAATATCTGCCTTCCCAAAAAAATAGAACAAGAATAAAATAATCTCCACAAAACACATAGTCTACATTAAAAAAGAGTATTACAGTTGATCTGTGATGATAACAATTCACGGTCTCTTTTGCTGTGACTGAGAAAATTTAAAAAATAATATAAATGTGTCATAAAACTAACCAGAAAACTAAACAGTAGTAAAATTCCAGTAGGACATTTATAAAAAGAAGCTTGACACCAACATTCAGAATTTAAGTTATTGTGTAAAAATGTTTTGTTTATGAATAATAATTAACAATATCTTACAGATGAATTGATAATTTTTGTAGGGTTCCAGACAATGTTTCCTTTTCAGTGTGAATTAAGTTTAGAGGACATTCAAGGTATCATAAATTTACACACGATTTTCATGCTTTGACATCTACTGTCAGATTTCATGTGTTGGCTGCTGTTTTGTTGTCTTTTTCTGTCTCGTTTTTAAGGCCAACTTGACAATTGAATTCTTTTACCCAAGTTTATGGTACTTTTTTTATTCATAACATATTTTAAAAAATGTCTTAGTCTAATTGGAAAATGATAATTACATTTAAATTAAAATGAGAGTGTTTGGCCAAGTAAAAATAAAAAGTAGTTTCTCGTCCTAATATTTTGAAAAAAAGGAGAATGAGGGTAGTTTTTTTTGTTTTTTTTTTTCTCCGAGATGGCAAATCCAAGATGGTCGATGGGAAACAGTTACTACTTTCTCACTTTTACCAAATAAAAACATTGAAAGCAAATAAAAGAAGCACGAGACATGATTCATATCTTATGTACAGTATCCCCAACCACAAACGATTGAGAGAGGAATTTTACTATGTGAGTTAGCTAGATTTTTGTACATTTAATAAAGTAAAGAAAATTTAAAAAATAAACAATTTGGTGAGGCAGAGAAACGAGTAATCTTTTTTCCTTTGGCCTTATTACTTGATTATCTGTTATAAGATGAAATTCAAGTATTGGCAAACATAATTGTTTTTTTTACTCTTGCCTTTCTCTTTTAATTTCTCTCTAATTTATTTGTCAGTGTAGTAAAGTGTAGTACTGTAAATAGTAAGATTTGTATGTTATTAATCTTTTTGTGGCTAAGATGTTTTTTGGGTTTCTATATTAAGGTGAAGGCCTTTATTATTTTTGGTAGTTTTAAAGTTGATTTTATCTTACATTTTGGTATTATTTGGTTCATTCAATTCAGTTGAATTGTGTTGCTTTAAATGCTAATTATTATAATAATTATAAATTAAATAAAAATATAACATTTTAAATAATAATAACATATATTTGGAAATGAATAAATAAATGTGAAACGTTAATAGTAATTTCCCTTGAAATTGCAGTTTACTATTCATTTAAACTTCACATGTATCTGACACATGTAGAGTAGATAGTGTTGGTAAATTCTGTGTAATATACATACAGCGTGGGATGGAGTGGACATTAAAAACGAAAATTATTGTTCTGTCTGAGCCAAGCAAAATTATTATTATGTCTTGGAGTTAGTTATCATCATAATAATATCAAATGATTATCATTTCAGGCAAGATAAAAGCATAGTCATATTTTTGGACTAATATTTGAGAGTGAAAATGTTTGCCTAATTTTGTCATATTTTATAATTTATAAAATAAGGTGAATATTTTGAATACAGTAATTTTACCTAAATTTATAACCTCATTATAATGTTACTTAAAACAAAAAAATAACATGAACAAATAATGGAAATAAAGTCAATATTATTTTACATAAAATATTGACCTGCCAATTGTGATCCGGTGTCACTTTCCAGGTCATTTTTTTTTACCCTAAACTGTTCATTGTGAGATACTGTAGTCAGACAGAAGGATAAGACATAGGAAGGAATGAATGTGTGTTGTTAATAAGGAAAAGCAGTTACATTTCTATTAATCATCACCTTTTCAGCTTTCTGATCAATATCAATTATATAGTCAGTGAATAAATTGGCGACTGAAAGGTTTTTCATTTGTCCTCATATTCAGTATTCTTCATCAGTTTGAATAATAATAATAATAATAATAATAATAATAATAATAATACACATTTTTAAAGTGCCTATTAAAGCAAACAAAACTGGCTTGTCACCGGCGCTGGAAGATGTTAGAAAGAAGTTGAACTAAATATAATGTTTATACAACATTAAAGGTTAGCTTTTCATGAATAGTATTTGCCACTGTACAAACATCATTTTCTATGTTTCTGAACCACAAAGAGTATTCATTGTTTTAGATGATAAATAAAAAATATAAGAAATTTTTTATATTATATAATTGATAAATAATTTTTTTTCATATAATTGGATTTAATATTATACTTATTTAATATTGCCCTATTAAATTATATTTTTATTAAATTTTCATTCTGAAATATAAATGATCTTTTCTTTATACACTGCCACAATTACCGTTATATTTTGTTCCATTTATTCAAAATGAAAATTGATGGTATATTATAATATATACAAATTATTGAGAGTCACAATGTGCATCTAACAAAAATGTTCCATTCCATTCAACATAAATTCATGAGCAAAATAGAAAATGGAGAAATTGGAATATAAGGCTGAATGCAACATTTTAAAGATTCGCAGAAATCAGTGGAAAATGTCACTACATTAACTTCATAATATGCAATAGGTATGAATTTATCATGGCAATGTATTCATAGATTTTCTCAGTATTCTCACATGGAGAATATAAAACTACATTACAAATGCTTAGTATGTAAAACAGAGGCTGAAAATTTTGACCATGTCTTTAGTTATGTTGGTCACTTTTCTGTTTTGTTTCATATACTGTATGCATATCTTGTAAATATTCAATCTTTGTGACCGCACCGTTCTTGTGTGCTACTTTTTAAAAAGTGTAGATTCAAATAAAGATTATTATTGCCTGCAGTATGTGGCAATTCAATAATGTAAAGTAGTGTAAACACATTAATCATAATTATATTGCTATACACTATCTGCAAGTAATGGTTGCAAATGATTGGACAAGGATAATATAAACATGATTGTGACCACACCACCAATGCAAATGGAGTATCATCAAAGCAATGTCAAAGCATTTGTGGCATACCCCAAGGATCTATACTGGGGCCACTTCTGTTCTTGTTATATGTAACGATTTACCTAATACTGTTAAGCATATGACAGTGAGTATGTATGCAGATGACACTGCACTCTATTATACCTCAAATAATGTAAATGAAGTTATTAACAAAATCAATTTTGACCTTGAAAATGTGGAAAAATGGTTATCCAGTAAAAGACTTAAGTTTGAATGTAGATAAGACAGAATTAATGTTTATTGGTACAGTACACATCAAAAATTATCTCGGTTATCAAACTTTGCCTTTAATATTCATATCAATGGTACCCGTCTTCAAAGAGTTACTCATTGTAAACATTTAGTTGTAATAGTTGATGAAACTCTATCATGGAATAAACATGTAGATCATATTAGGACCAAAGTTCTTCCAGGCTTGTTCTACCTAAATCAAGCTACTTGCTCCCAATCCCTATGCAATCATTGTTGTACAATACTACCCCTTACTTAGATGACTGCAATGTTGTGTGGGGTAGATGTAACAAAACATTAAGTAGTAAATTACAAGTATTACAGAACAGAGCAGCTAAAATAATAACAAATAAACGAAAATATGATTCTAGTACACAGGCACTGGAAGAACTTAAATGGTTAAATGGACTTACTTTCAATGAAAAAGTAATGATGTACAAAATAATGAATGACTTGACTCCCAATTATTTAAGAATTAAATTTTCACAAAGGCAATCAGCATATAATACTAGATCTACAAATAACCTGTACATAGATAAACCTAATACAGAGTATAAAAAAAAAGAGTTTGGCATATCGTGGTGCTGACTTGTGAAACAATATTGATGAAACCACAAAAAATAGTACCACTCTTAAAATTTAAAAAAAGTTAATTTCAACATAATTTTTTAAGTGTACAGCTTTGTTTTGTTTTTTTTTTTTTTTTTTGGTAGTATCTTTGTTTCTTCCTTATCCATTATTTGTATTTGTAAGTAGTTCTTGCTTGATTTCATGATCTCATACCATATGTTAAAGGCACGTATACGGCCTCGTGGAAGAACACCTCCTTGGTGAACAAGCTTCCGTTGTAAAAGAAAGATATTATTATTATTATTATTATTATTATTATTATTATTATTATTATTATGAATGATTGACAGGTATTATTTTAATACAAAATTTTGAAATATGTATTTTTATTACCACGGAAACATTAAGGCACTCATTAATCTACCTAAAACAGTCAATTTGAAATTGTAGTAATATGTATACATTTCCAAACACAATTACTTTCTCTTTGAAACCAAAAATAATCAGCATTTTTAGAAGTGCAGTAATCATCTTTGATGTATACTATTGCATTATCAATGTGCAATTAGTAATATTATTATTACGCAGGTTATAAACTGCTTAATTATTTTACTTTATTTAAATTCTTTATATTTTATTATAGTAAACCTGTGCAAGTATGTGATGCCATCTTTCCTGGGAGTTGTTCGTGCTCTTGGAAGATCAAGCTACGACAATAAACCACTACTTATCCAAATGTTCCCAGAGACTAAGCCTTCTCACTTTACCCCGCATGAACAAAACGATGTCTTACATTCTACCTTCAGTACATTCCGACCAATTATCTCCGAGGCAATGGCCAGACACTTTCCAAAGGATTTCCAGTACAGTGGCTCAGTGAACTTGTCGCAAAGTGCGGATTCCAAGCACACAGAACATGAGATACAGTGTAAGAGGTATGGGTTTGATCCCTGTACTCACCTGTTTACCTGTGTTGGATCCATGTTTAGGCCTGCAGTTGTCATTCATGGTGCTGAGACCAAGTCAAAATTGACATTGAGTATTGCACAGTTACAAGCAGTACTCTCAGTGGTAAGTGATAAATGCATAGCTGTAAAATTGCAACACTTGAATTTTACCAATAAAAAGAAAAAAATCACTAAAAATTACATTTTTTATACAGAAATGATATAGTAGGAGCATTAGTAGTTGTGAAATAAGGACTAGAAAGAATGTTCTTGATGTTCAAAATGCATATGACCTAAATAGTATCAGTTGCTCTATCTTTGGAGCCCCAGGGGTGGATCCAGAGAGTTTCTGATGGGGGGGGGGAGAGGGCACAATATGAAGTTCAACCCACCACGCCCACCTCCACCCCACAATGGTTGGTGTAAATAAGTGGCAAACAATCAAGCTCTCCTTTCTCCCACTGCTGGATTGCCACTGAACTCATGGGTTCACTCGCTTTTCCCCTTTCCTCTCTTTAACTCACATTTTTCTCCCTTTTTTTTATTTTTCGGCTTGACCGACGTGGGGTGTGGGGCACGGGCCCTCATAGCCCCAGCTAGATTCGCGCCTGACATTGTCAGATTGCATTTTTTTAAATGAATTAAAATGCCTATCTGATATTAGTTTGAAGAATGATTAATGCAATATATATTCTGAACTCCGAGATTTCTTAGAAAATTATTCATGTGTTTAATGTCACTTGTGTATTACTTATCAATTTATTTTTTAATTTATATTTTATTAATTGATTCATGCATTCTGTCAGAAAATTAATACCAAGCATTTACCAGTACTTGGTTTTTTCTGATTTTCTCCCATAAATTTAGGCCAAGAAAATGATCTGCAAAGATACATGTAAACAGCTAGATGACATAGCTGCACAGTTTGTAAGTCAATATGGGCCTAGAGCTTTCCCTTACCAGTCATTTAGTGAGGTCCTTCACTTGTGTATTGTAGCACTCCTCAGACACTTACTGCAACATCAAGAAGGTATTCATTTATTTTTTTTATTTAGATACAAACACATTTTAATGATTAATTTTTTTGGGGAATAACAAAATATGCCATTTTGAAGAAATAAAAAAAAAAAAACAGGTTTTAACAGGGTTCGTATGCGTCCTTAAATTCCTTGGATGTCCTGGAAAGCAAATGAGAATTTTCCTGTACTGAAAAGTCCTGGAAATTTATGAATGTCCTGGAAATTTGATCATTTACCATTTATCCAGTACTGCAGGTTGCCTAAACAGTAAATTAAATAAGAAACGTTCCCACAGGTTCTTACGATACTTTTTATTTATTTATTTTATTTTATTTCATTTTACACCCAACAGCGAGAACGTCAATAACAGGGAGCATAGAGTAATCCAATATAAAATCACAATAAAAGCATTCAAAAATATTGGAAATTTGCTTGTTTAAAAATGTACAAACCTTGTTTTAACTTCTGCTGTTGCTATTGTTATTTTATTTTCAAATTTATCCTTGCAGCTTTACCAGAGAGCTTCACCACAGATATCCAGTCATTTGTCAAAGATTTATTCACGTCTGGACAGACGGAGCTTCAGGACCAAACGTTTGAGTCTGCAACAAAATCAGTGTGCAACTTCAACTCATTTGATCTTCTTGTCCAATGCAATGCTGCGTGTGTTGATCTATTGGTGTGGGCTGCAAGTGATGAAGTAGGTAAGAGTGCCTAGGTTAGGGTAATGCTGGAGATAACAAATCAAGCCATGTGGATGTGCCATGTTTGACAAATGGTATTTCAGCCTGGTAATCACCACATCAAGTCGAATGACAAAGTGGTTAATGCAGGAGCTCCACAACGTACAGCCATAATATCGGTGTTGGTTCAGACGGCACACTTGCCTATAGTTCTTGTGGTGGAACAAGTCTCAGATAAGGGCTATAGACCGTAGCCCCAGTGTCCACTTCTTGGCTCATGTGCACTTTAAAGAACCCAGTACATATTTCGAGACATGTTGGGGTTACCTTGTGTTCTGGTCCATCCAGCCCCTATTGTGGACAGAAGAGAGTAGCTGGTACCGGTTTACCTGTAGCTTAGACATGAAGAGACCCTTAGGGGAGAAACAAGTAACTGTACGAGCTAGTCTACACCTTGAGCACTTTAAGACTTTGAATTAAAATGCTACTGTATATAAATCCAACTATATTACATTACATCAATCAAAGCATCTGATATGTAACATCTACTTTATCACCAATACATAGGTTTGTATTTATTTTGCAGGGGCTGATAGTTTAATAGGTAGGCTCACAGAGAAGTTGAATGCAGTGGCTAGTGGAAAGCAGCTAATTGCCCACATGCCCCTTCTAATGTGCTGTCTGGAAGGGCTTGGAACTTTAGCTGAGAAATTCCCAATGTTATCACACGCTACTACCAGTGCGCTTCGGGACTTCCTGCTGAATCCATCCAAGGTGCTTGTACGCTTGTTTAAGCAGTACTCTGTGTCTCTTAAGTCAACCAGTCCACATATTCAAGTCTCTGGTGGGAGCGGAGTAAAGGTTGAACTGAACATGACGGAGATGGACGGCTACAGACACACTAAGTCTCAAAATAATTTTGAGCGGTTAAGAGATGCAGCAATATACAACCTATGCAGGTAGAACCTCAATTCTTCATTTTAATTGTTTCATACAAAAATTTAAAAAAATACATAAAATCTATCATGGTATAGGTTCAGAATACTAAAAGTATTCCAATGTTTCAAATATAAGTATTTAAAAGCAAATTTTCCTTTGAAGTTTCTAGCATAAGGCCAAAAAAAAAAATGTTGTATTACTCAAGTAAAGTGAATATATGAAATCAGAGGCAGGTGATTTTTCTTGCATGGCGTAAGACGTAGTGCAAATTCTAGGCTAACGATCAACAATCATTTGCATTTTCCTTATTGATTTTCATTTCATTCTGTTTTTATTATCAAAACTCATAGCAGTAAAACATAACTGAATTGCAAGCAGATTTACAAAATTTACAAGAAAACAATATTATTAAAAGATAAAATATTGTTAAAGTGCAACTAGAGAGAAAACCTAAGACACAGAAAGAAGGACTGACACAGGAAAAAACACAAAAAACAAAACAACAATCAGTATTGCGACAAAAAAAACCTCAAAACGTACATTTGGAAAAGGAAAACAAAAACAAATACATTTGCATAAGGGAAAGCAATTCACACCAAAAACAATCAGCATCACGACAAAAAGGAAAATATCAAAAAGTAAAACAAACATTAAGACATTCATTTTCATAAGGAAAACCAATATACACCAGGACAAAAACAACAAACAATACCTTAAAAACAAAATATGAATATATAAAAAAATACACATACACACACACAAATATGCATAATCCTATATACACATACAAATATATACATACAAAAAAAATACAAATTCAGGCAAATTAACGACAGAGATAAATAGACACTCCCATGAAGGCTTACATAAAAAAAATTGCTCAGATATAGAGGAATATTGTGTTTTTACTAAACAATGTTTAAATATATATAAATTATATATTTCTATTATGTCAACGAGTGCAATCGTTTCATTATATTTATATATACACATGTACATATATATATACATATACATACATTACATCCTAAATATATATATAAATGTACTCGCACATTCACATATACTCAAGTACACAGACATACAAACCCATATGCACACATTCATATACATATATACACATATAATGCATATACACATATAAAAAATATATTTTAACTACTGAGCCAAAATTCGCAGTTTAAGTATCAAATTATATAAAGTTTGAAGAGTGTTTATTTTAAACATCATTAGGTATTCTGGGCACTTTGGTAATGGTATTGGTGATATGATTGTAAAGCACATACATACTACAATATCATAAATGCTCTGGTAAAAAAAAGTCAGTTTGGCTTGAGCAACACAAAGAATGTTTTTGCCTAATATTGTTATGATAAGTTTGCTTATGTTTGTTGACATTTTCTCATTATTTGTCTGAAGTTATAGTTTGGTGGTTAGGATGTCTGATTTCCAGTCTTATTGTCTTATGTTAAAATGTGATAGTCCAGGATTTTTTTTTCTCATGACTAAACAACACTGATAAGGAAGTTTGCACAATTCATTGGTAATAATGAAAGTTAGAACATCAGAACATAGTTTGGTGGTTAGGATGTCTGATTTCCAGTCTTATTGTCTTATGTTAAAATGTGATAGTGCAGGATTTTTTTTTCTCATGACTAAACAACACTGATAAGGAAGTTTGCACAATTCATTGGTAATAATGAAAGTTAGAACATCAGAGCATAAATATTTAAGTGTAATTATCGGTGATAAACTAAACTGGAATAAGTTTAATGTAGGACAAAAAGCACTATCTGTTTTCTAACAGAGTGGAATAAAATCAGCCATCTAAACTACTGTCAAAACAAACCAGTTCAAAAATTTAATCATACCACACAGATGCCAGCTCTACAATAATCACTTCTCCAGGTAATCTCACTGTCTTAGGTTAGGTACCATAGTTATTTTTAAGTCCATTTCACTGTCTTTCCATTTAGTTAAGTTAGTTTACTTAAGCTTTTGGTGCTATTGTATTTTGTGTAATGTTTGTATTTATTGTGATGTGTATGTTAAATTACTTTATTGTATCAGCACAAAAAAATGGATTTCATGTATATTTTATTATATGTGACAATAAAATCAATCTTGAATCTTGAAAACAACTCCACCCTTCTAATTTTGTAGATCATTGAAAGCTGGTCTAGAGGATGATCCTAATTGTGTGCAGGCCTTCCTTGCTGCAGTGTCTAATACACTCTATCTGGCTGTCAACAGTGATAAGTAAATAAATGAAATCTCTCCTTATTTGTAGTTGATCATGGCTGTGGTTTTAAAGGTTAAGTAGATTGCTACTCATTGCGAGGCTTTTGGGTTGAATCCTTACAAAATTATTTGTGTATCTTCTGATTAAAAACTTCATTTCTTTGAATGCTTTATGGCTAGTCCTTAAGTTTGTATCTATGACTTGGTGGTTAAGGAGCTTCCCTTTAATTCCCAAATTCCTGGGTTCAAGTTATGCAAAGTTTTGAAATATGTAAACTAAAGAAATTTTCAACTTTTGTTGCATTTTGAGTGTTTTATACCCAATAAATAAAAAAATAAAAAAAATAAATAAAATAAAATAAATTCACTCCCATTCTAAATTTTCATGAAAAATATATACTTTTTTTGTTTTATATTGGCAGCCGTGAGTCAAATTTAATCTCTAACAATGCCATCTTGACTCTCGGTCATGTGGCTGTCGCTCATCGGGACACACCTCGTGCGATGGAAAGCATCCAGCAAATCTTACAGCAAAGGTTCTGCCAACCGCCCTCACAACTTGATAACTTAATTGTTGATATGCTGGGTTCTATGGTGCTCACTGGACATGTAAGTAAACATTCTATTTACAAAAAAAAATCACTTTGCATATTCATATTACACCTTACAATTGGCAGTCTCATGTTAATTAAGGGTATTTCCACCTTCATAGTACTAGAATTTTAAAAAATGCAAAAATCCTGAAATTTTCATTTATGTGATTGGTTGTAAAATGTAAAGAATCATCCAGCATATGACACTGCCACTTCAGTCATTAATAATTTTTAACTAAATTGTTTTTATTGCTTTCTATTTTGGTTAAATCATCTTAATCTATTTTTTAGTAAATGCTAAGTATTAATAATTTTTTTTTATCATTAACTGTATTATTAAAATATACAGAGAGTACCATGTTGCTATAACAGACTCATGAAAACGTTTTGTTACTGAACAACTACCAAATTGCTCAATATGGCTGAGGAGTGTCTCCAAAGCTGATGCATCAGAACATAATAATTTTTAATCAAATTACTGCATAAATACAGATGTGTCACATGGTATTATGAAATTAGCAATGTTGTACTCAAGTTTAGCTTTTTGATTTTGTTGCTATATTATCCACAGTGTAGTATTTTTTGATTTTTCTCAATTAGTGCACCATTTATATTCCTATATATATATATATATATATATAAGGATTTCATCGGGCACAAATGCTTAATACAGTACCAGTATTGCACCTCACATTTTGTTTTTTGTGTGAATAATTTTTAAATTAGTTTTTTCGTTTTCATGTTTCCAACAGTTTGTAATATATTTACCACATCTTTTATTGTAAATGATACATATGATATTCTTGCACTGACTCCATCGTTATCCATATTCACTTTCTATCCAGTACTTCAATTCATTTGAAATCGGGTTCCGTCGGCCATCGGTGGTAGATGACACAGCCCGTAGATTTTCACGTAGCCAGCGCAGAGAGGTACCACAGCAAGCAACCCCCAGAGTCTTGACCTTTTGCTTTCTAACCTTCTGTCTTTTGACCCTTGCTTGCAAATGAAATGACCTTACTTGTGATGGTGCATTGTGTTCTGGTTGCTTTGGGCTAATAAATTCATGGGATTTTCTTAAAGGTTTTTTTTAATCTGATTTTTGACAGTATTACTTTAATATATTTATTACCAAGTTTCTAACTTAATAAGGATAAATACATTCATTGAGTAGTATATTAGGATCAACTAAATTTAAGATTTGGTATTAAAGCATTAAATATGTTGAACTCAGCTCTCCAATAAAATCAAATATTGGAGATTTTAATGATTTGTATATGGTTAGGCAAGTTAAATGCTTTTAGGTTTTTGATATTCTTATTATTATTTTGTAATATTTACAAAATACTTAATAGTTTCCTTGGGCAAGGCAAGGACACTTTGCCTCTCACATGCTAGAGTATAAGTTACCTCATATTCATTCAGCTGATTACTTATAGCAACATTTTGAAAGCTCCCTTCAAGGTGGCTGGGTGTGTTTTTCCACTGCCTGAGTAATAATGTGATGCAGATATAGGCCTATTTATGATGTACTTATGATATAAGTGATATTATTGGAATATTATAAGATAGAAATCAATTTACTAACTAAAAACTTTCATTTATGAGAGAGGAAGGGGTTGGACTAAGGTTTTGAAAGTGTATCATCATTTTTTTGTTGTCTGTTTTATGCATTATGATTATTGCATGCTTTGCTAGTCATTGGTTTTAATATTTATAATACTTACACAGATAATACTGCGTAAAAGTTCTTTGACTAACAAACTCCATTTACAATTGTAATAATCACACTTAATCATATCATCCAATTTCTCACATTAATATATCATTTCAGTGATGACATTAAAATATTTCTATAGTTACTATGAGCCAAATGACCTTAATACATTGATTATATTTTTCTTTTATGTGAATGTTTTGTGTGAGTTTTTTTTTTTCTAGTAACAACTTAATTATTACTGTATCCACTTTTGCTTTTGTTTCTAGTGTTGTTTATATGTGTTCTTTCATTCAGGTTGTGTAACCAACACATTTTGAAGTGGTTGATAAACTTAAAATGTATTTTATTTAGATTATAACAGACATGTCATTGCAAACCAAATTGCTACATAATAATATATCATATAGAAATAACAAGTGTATGTATATTTTTTACCACCAGCATCATCATCATCATATTGTCATTGATTGATTTTGTTGTCATCGTTGTTGTGGCTACTACTGCTACTTTTGATATTTTTATTTAAATTATTTGTTATCATCATTCTATGATGGTTATTATTGACATTTTTATTGCTTTCACAGTTGAACTTGCATAAGTCGAATCCAAAATGGCATTGAAAATTTGTTTGACTTAGATAAATATCAACTTACAGATTCTTAATTAATGAAAAACATAACAATTTGGCACGTAAAATAAGATCAACTTAGGAATTATTCGAGTTAGACAAAGTCGACTTAAGCAAGTTTAACTGTGTTTATTATTATTATTATTATTTTACTTTTATTTAACTTAATTTTTTTTTACTTTAATTGCAATTAATTTTTTTTTTCTGGCATTTATTATTATAATATTTTTTAATAATTATTATTAATAGAAATAATTGTTATTATTTATAATCATCATGCATGCTTATTTTTGCTTTTAGTCTGCGGTCTACCAGGATGTGATGGGTATGTTTATTCAGATAAGTGTTGAGGCAGGTTCAGTTACCTACTCTTCCGAAGAATCAGATAAGATACAACGCTTCAGGTAAAAACAAACACTAAAGGCGAACTCAGACAGCGTTGTATGACGCAGCCCAACATGATTTGTTGTCGCATTCGGTATCAGTTAAGCACTGACATCAATCAATGCATTTATATAGCGCCGGTATCCATAATACTGTTCAAAGGCGCTCAACAAAGTTAAATTTGAAATGCTTCCAAGAACAGGTAGGCTTTCAGATGTTTTTTGAAAATGTTGACACTTTGTGAAGTTTTCACATCTATTGGTAAAGTTTTCAATAAAGTGGGTGCTGCACAAGAGAATACATGATGACCATATGATTTGAGTTTCCATTTAGGGAAACATGATAGGTCTACATTGGGCATAGGCATGTTATAGAATATTAAACATGTTTAATATTCTCACGACGACCTGAAGACTACTCCCACCAATAAATCGCATTGGGCTGCGTTGTCTGATTTTGCCTTACTTATTGAGCCACACATCAGCTTTGTACTCCCTCATAATAATAGACTACAATATCTTTGTTGCAAATTTAATTAAAGGTTTTATGTCCAAAATGCATCGCAGCTAAAAATTGAATTATAGCAAGTGGTTACAATTCACAGTACATATAAGAAATTAAAAATATTTAAAAAAAAATATTTCCTACTCTTACCTCAGTTGCTCTGTTATTACATTTAAAGTCAAATACTCTTGAATTAAGGTAAAAAGATTAGTGTATTTAAGATGAAGTTGGTGTAATTTAAAATTGCTTTTGTGCCTACAGACACTGTTCTCTAGCTGTTATCAACGTGCTAGCCAACATTGCTGCTTGTCTACAAGGGGAAGCTGAACAGCAAGAATTCCTCATAAAACTACTAGAATTATTTGTTCAGCTAGGCCTAGAAGGCAAGCGTGCCAGTGAAAAAGCTCCAACTGCTGCAAAGGCCTCTAGCAGTGCTGGCAACCTTGGAATTCTCATCCCTGTACTGGCTACAGTAAGCTTCCCTTCTCTATCTTGTCTTTTTCTTTTTATGATAATAGTAAATTTACTAATATAGTACCTTCCACCATTTTAAAGTATTAATATTTCAAAGTATACAAAATATGTTTATTGTAATTCAAACAGAAAATATATAGCTAAATACTAGTTCATTATCCTAGTTTTCTGACAGTATAAGATCATTTAGGTTTTATAGCTTGAAGTTATTTATCATTTATCCCCATACTATATGTACCTTCTGAGTAGTCTGCCGATTAATTCAACTCAGTCCCATATTTTATATCATTTTTATTACCATACAGCTTTTGCGCCGTTTGCCGTTAATCCAGGATCCTAAGCAGAGGTTAAGTAAGCTGTTCCGTGACTTCTGGCTCTATTGTGTTGTGATGGGGTTTGCTGCTGAAGAATCAGGTGATTCATCTCATTGACATTGATTGTGCAACATCTAGATTCATACCACTGTCTTTCTGTAGCACAGCTCCTTTGTCAATATCGGAGCCTTAGGACAGGATAATACATACGTTATCTTAGATTAATTAGTAGACCTTTTGGTTTTTAGAGCCTTAGGAAATTGTATTTAAATGCTTAAAACCAATTCACTTTGTTAAGTACCATATTTCTTGATTCTATTATTCATGTAGCACTTTGGCCAAGTGAATGGTATGAAGGGGTCTGTGAGATAGCAATCAAATCTCCTCTTCTGACATCCAGTGAAGGGGAACATCTTGGCTCAGAGCTCCAGTACAACTCAGCCCTAAGGAATGATAGCATGTCCTATGTAAGTAACACTAATGGGCTATGGAAACATGATCATTATTATAATCATGTTATCATAGTCATTAACACCATCATTACCATCATCATTGTTAGTTTATTACTCTACTCAAAGCAAGTGGTCTAATGCCATCGTGTTTGAGGACAAAACATTTGCTATAAGTGACTTCATTACTCACGATATTTGTCTGTAATCAGTTGTATATTGAGGAGAAAGCTTTGGAAATTAAAAGTGGGGTCCTCCTTCGGAAAAGTCTGTTTTCTAGATGCTTGGAAATGCACTTTTATGCATTATGAGACGTCCATTAATGATTGAATACACTGTGAATTCCTAGTTTTTCCCTATTGGACAATTAATAATTATGATGATATGGAGGAGGAGAAGGGGGCACCATAGGTAGGTGATGACAGGCTTCTGTACAAGATTAATTAACAGGCCATTTGATGTGAATTGTCAACCGAGGTCCATAACCTGAGTAATGATTGGGAGTCTGGAGACATAATATTGTCGTCGTCACATTTTCAAAGCACACAATCAGACAACAGTAATTGTCTACAAATGATCAATACATTTTCGACTATCATGAAAATCACATATATCCCAAAAATTTTATGCATGCACCGAAGTGCAAAGTTTAACCTTAGATCATTCAACCTTATGGTATAACACATTTTTTTATGAAATTTAAATATTACGATTAAATAAATATTATGAGAAAATGTTTTAGTGAAATTGTCTTGAGTTTAACATTAGCCTGCTGGAATGCTAACATGTAAAAACAATGACTGAACCATGTCTCAAAGACATAAAAGCAAAGATATTCTATTTTTCATTGCATCACATCTGTCAAAAATACAAAACTTCAGCAGAGTGGGCTACTGCATTATTGATGCTCTCATTAATGTATCATTACAGTAGTCATTAACATCTACAGTATCATCATCTTTATCAAGATAATATATCATAATCATGATGACAGTATATAAACATCATTGTTATTGTTGTCATCATCATTGTTACGGCCATCTTAATATTTATTATCGCCATCATATCATCAGCTTCATTAAGTTGTCTTTTTACTGATTAAAAATTTATTTCACATTCAACAATATAATACAGTACTATACTTTTACTGTTAGGCTTAAGGAGTGTAATTGTTTTTCCCATGAAAATATATTCAGGCATTTAACAGGAATTTTACGCAAATTTATGATTGGAAAAGAAGCAAATAATTTAAAATCACTTGCATTGTATTACATAATAGATTGCATGTAGAGTAGTTTTTTTAAAGAAAATAATAAAAATAAATATATAATAAGTGATGATTTCTATTTTGTTAGGCTGAACTGAATGAAATTCGTCAGACCATCATCGGTCACTTGGAGAACCCTGCTGAGGTGATACCATTAATCAACAAACTAAGCTTTGCTCAGTGTTGCTACCTATTGTCAGTCTATCGGCTTGAAACATTGCGTGTCACGCATTCAGGTGATGACTGCACGTTCCGTGGGATGTTTGAGTACTTGGAAGACAAAGCTATCTGGAAAGATAAAGCTGGAATGTGGCAGTGTCTGCTGGCAGTCTCCGATCAAGTCTTCAAGATCTTCATTGATAAAATGGCAAAGATGGTGAGATTGTAGGAAAGAGTATATAAATTGCAAGAGGTCCGACTGCCCTGATTTTGTATGCATGCAATCGTACGTGAAAAAAAAAATACTGCCATGAGATGGGGGCGCCCTATTAGAATTCGAATAGAGTTAGCTTTTCATGGCAGTACTTTTTGAAATAGGATTACGTTCCAACAAAACCACAAGAGTCAGACCTCTTGCAGCTCTATACCCTTTGATTGTAGTCAGGCATTCACTATCAGATTTTTGTCTCCCAGACTCATTTGATAATGTTCGATTAGAATCTCGCACATCACACCTAGAGAAAGTACTTAAAGCACTATGTTATCTAACAATTGATTGATTATTTGAGTGATAGATTAACTTTTTTTTTTATTTATGAAAATTTGGTATACAATACCTTGAGTGGACAGATAGCCACATCATGGCTGGTGACTAATAATTAACCTCCCCTTAACTTAATGTAATAAACATCCAGAAATTGATTGAGTGATTGATTGATTGATTGATTGATTGATTGATTGATTGATTTACAATGTTTACTTTATGATTGACAGGAAAAGACGTCAGTTAGGGAGCAACGTCTTCAGATTCACGCTCAGTTTCTTCTGATGAAGTTCAACCATGTCATGAAGCAGATCAGAAAAGTTGCCGATAAATTCTTATCAAAGCTAGTCGACAAGTGAGTCACTAATTTACACAAATTAGCTTAGGTGTATTTTAACAGTGCCAGGAGTCAAACACAAGGAAAAGACATCAATTATGTTGCACATAAATTTGTCACATAAACATAATGAAAGCTTAACATCAAACTATTAATTGGGAATAGGGAACCTCATGATCAAGAGTTTGAAACACACGCTGACCATTCTCGGCTGGCCATACTTAGATACTCTGGCTTGCACTATTGATGGGCTGCAAAGTGGTTTGCGCTATTTTTCAGCCAAGTGCAAGTATTTCATTTCTTATAAACATAATTTTTTAAAAGTATATATATACTTTATATTGTGGCTGCTTTTCATCATCAGTAAAGCTAGCATTAGGTCACCTATTAACTAGATATATAACAAAAAAGAAATTAACAAGATTTCAATAAACATTGCATTTTCTTGTTGTATTTCAGGTTTCCTTTTCTGTTATGGAATGGTACAGTATTGTACACAATGGTTGATATACTACAGTTACTGTCAAAATCCTTGGACAGGAGCAACACACAAGAGGCTGTGGAGTTGGATGTTCCCAATAGTCCTTATAAGCTTATCGTCATGGATACAAGAGAAGCAAGAGAGGTATGCAGTTATTCCCATTTTCTAAATTTACGAAATGCCACTTGATGTTTTTTTTTAAAAATACATTTGAACCTTATCACCAATTGAACCAATGCACTTTGATCCCTGATCAGATTGTGAAGTGATTTTTTTATGCATTTGTTGATTCCACCAAGCAACAGACCAATCAGAAAAGGGCCAGGGATACGCGTGTGTCCAACAAACATGTGTGTTGTCCCGCAAACGCATATGTTCATGTTTTGTTTTTTTTTACACTCGTTTTGTGGGACCTTAGCAACAATATCCAAGGGGCTTGGCTTAGTGGAAAGGTCCATTACACATGAGTGCTTGCATGTTGTAATCAACTTAGCTAATTACGCGAGTCTTACCTCCATAGTTCACAATAGGGGCTTAGTGGAAAGGTCCATTACACATGAGTGCTTGCATCTTGTAATGAACTTAGCTAATCACTTGAGTCTTACCTCAATAGTTCACAATAGTCACCTGGTTTATTTTTGCCAAACATTTTAGACTATCCTACAAGATTTCTCTGCTCGTTGTGGAGGAATTTTCCAGGAGGCTGTAAAGTGGGCGCCCTCTATTACACGATCTCTCCTGCAGCAATACCTTATAACGTTGGAGAACTCAGATGGACTGTCACAACACAGCGGCTTAGAGTTGGCCACCGAGTCAGCATTACAATTTGCAGGGTCTAATGTTAGTTCGGTGAGTGTTACAAATACAAAAGCTATTCCAAAAAAAAAAAGTGAAGTAGGTGTGCATGCTTATAGGAGTTGAACATAGCCAAGTTGCGGCTTGGGAAATTCAATACAATGCAATGTAATTTTGTTTTCATCAGTTGTAATACCACGCTAGACTTGACCTATTTTCTTTGTGGGTTGTTAATTTGGGAACAATTAGCAATAGTTTGTTTATCGAGGGAGGTATCTAACTCATAGACTATCAACATCCTTGCTGATTTGTGTGCAGTATATTATTTTAAGCACTATTATTTAAATTAAGTTGAGGAGGCCCAGTAAAATAAGTGAAATAAATATATGGAGTAGTAACAACTCCTTTTAACATAAATACTTGTCGTACACAAATCTCATTCACTCACAATTTGTAAAGTTGACTATAATGTTACTTTCCTCTTTCTGCTTAGTCCACATTTGCTCCAGATAAGCGCATCAATACAAAAGCAGATTCATCCAACTTTGTGTCTACAATGAGTTTAAGAAGTCGCTTTGCCGGTGAGGTAAAATGATCTTTTTGTTTTCAAAGAATTTCATCTGGTTCCTTAAGTATAGTAGAAAAAAATTTTGTCAAATCAGTTTTGGCAACTGCTTCAGTCACTTCTTAAAGGCTAGTATCTATGAGCTCTAATTTTCAATTTAAGTTGTATTTTTGGTTTTCTAAAATGGATCATAAGTTATAAGTCTATACGTTATGTTGGCTTTTATTATCAATTATTTCTGTGTTACATTTTTCTCACTATTAATGCCCAAATCTTTCAATGTATGTTCTCGAAGGTGGCTGGTATGAAAGCTATATACTCAGAAGCAGGGCCAGGAGGCTTAACCCTTGCAATGGTGCTGGACAACCAGCTGAAGAAGGTCAGTGCAAAGGGCCTAGAAGAGGGATTCACGAACAGTATGTTTAGAGTGTGCTCACTACTCATATCTACTAATGGTAAGAAATCACTAATTCTCATTCATTGTTATCAGTAGTAGAATCATCATCATTATTGTCTTCATCACTGTTATCATCATTGTTGGCATCACTGTAGTTGTTGTTCCATTATCGTCATTTTTGTCCTCGTAACCATCATCATCATCATTATCATCATCATCGGCTTCACTGTAGTTATTGTTGTCGTTCAATTATCGTCGCTATCACTGTTGTCATCGTCGTCATCGCTGTCATATCAACATCATCGTGTTTGTCATTATCATCACTTTCATTATCATCTGCGTCATTGTCATTGTAGTCGTAATTGCTGCCACCGTCATCATCATTCAAAGCAACATATCACAATGTATTAAATATATTATCTGGGTGGGTGTGTAATAATGTCATGTCTTTATATTGACAAACCTCATTGTAAAATGAAAGTTTTAAAATGGTAAAAGAATTATTTAAATTCGACATTTTGTTATGAAGTTTACAACATACAGGCGTTTGAAGAACAGTATCTGAGAAATCAGCCTTCCAAATTTACGATTTTTTAGCATTTCTCAGGCAGAGACCATCACAAAATCAATAAAAATTTTGTTTTAACATTAAAAATAGGGAAAATACAAACATAGCCTGATGTATAGATATATGAAGTTTATTTTAGTGCATTAAATAGGTTTTGAAAATGTTGACATTCAATCATGTTTTGGCAATTATCTCTGAAACACAATTTGCGAAGAGTGACTTGTTTGGCTTGTCTTTGGCACACATTTTGTCATCGAAGTCTTGATAGTGTAGAAAGTGCATTATATTTATGCTTTCTGTTTGCAGAACTTGATCGTGTGCTCCTTCACAGCCTGTGTTGGGAACCAGTCAAAGTATTTACTGCTCATGCTTTGGAGACCGCTGTTGCATGCTGGGACTGGTTATTGGCAGCTCGGCCAGACTTTGAGCTTCAGGTGTGTGTATACAAATCTTTAGTTTAAAATTGTTTTATAATTCATTTTGTAGATGCATGGTTAGTTTTTACATTTTTGTTTATTTGGCTAAATACAGTCAACAAAAGAAAGTGGTTAGGTGTAGCTTAAGCAAATGCTCACAATAGCATTGTTAGATACCATATTTATTTTAATAAATGCCTCCCTCTAATATACGCCCCCTCCAGAGCCTCATTTGGAATAAACACCTCCCTTGACAAAATGCTCCTGGGCGTCATTTTTTATATTTGAATAAACGCCCCTCCCTAAATTACTGTAAACAAAACTGATGGAAGCAACATCAATGTTTGTCAACACATTCTATTAATGTTCTACTCCAGTAGAATTGTATTTTTTGTAACCTGGTTGGGATCAATTACCGTAGTCTTTATAATCATGCAGTAACACTTTGACGGTAATCATGTGCTGTAGTTCCACATTTACAATGAAATTAAGGGGCGTGTATTATTAGAGTATATACGGATTACTTTTACACCAAAAAATAATGCCTTCCTTGAATAAATGCCTCCCTTGAATTAACACCCCCTCAAAAAACATTCTCAACAATAAACGCATTGGGGTGTTTATTCAAATAAGTATGGTATATGTTTCTTAATTTGAGATGCTTATAATTTTTTCTAGTTCCTACGAGAGATGGCTGCAGCCTGGCAACTAACCATTGATCAGAAACTGGGCATATTTTCTGTGGAAGAAGAATTGCCAAGTCCCCTAGCTTGCACATCTACCGGTCCCCCGCCAAACAAACCCCCTAATGTTGCCCCACATCAGATCTGGACACATTTCCTGGTTCTTCATTATGAAAGCATTCGCTACTCCAACATTGATGAAATAGAGATATATGCTAGGCTGTTAACAAAATCACTCTCGCTTACTATCGGTGGATGCAAACAAGGGATTATGTCTCGGCATGTGGCAACGCTAGGCCCACGTTTCCGTCTCTTAAATTTGGGAATGTGTCTACTTCAGGGAGATACCTTGCTAACAAGTATCTCCAAGAACGCCCTCAGGGAGCGTATTTATGCAACAGCCTTTGATTACTTTAGTGTGCCACCTATGTGTCCGACACAGTCGTCTTCAGAGTTGCGAGATGATATTTTGGTACTGTTTAAGTTCTGGTCTTACATGCAAGCAGAGAGGAAGCACTTGAGAGCAGGAGCTGTGCCCGGCATGTCCTTTGGTAAGTTATGATCAATGAACCTGTTGCTTACATTTTGTACTTGAGTATATTAGCTTTCAGTCGACAATTTAAAAAAATATTCTTTGCTAATTAAAAGCATAATTTGCACTCAATCAATTTTAAAATGTAGTAAAAAGTTGGTAAATCAATGAAAAACAAATTTAAATATTTTTAAATAAACAACTCAATGTTTTACTTGAGCTTTAGAAGGTTTTTCATAAAATGTGCATCTTTGAATTATTTTTGATACCATGAAGAATGATATTAATATTTAATAAACTATTAAATAAACATACTGTTAAATATACATCACAGAAACCAGATGAAACTATGTGAGCTAAATGGTATTCATTCAATTAATTAAACTGATTGTTATTTTTACCAATTATTGATGTGGTCAGATGGTCCAGAACCAGGAGCCTTAGCTACCATGCCAGTAGACCTGCGTGCAAGTGTTGATTACAGCGCACGCACAGCCACACAAGGCTCAGGTTGGATGAACACTATGCCTCTAGCAAGCAATGTGTCTGTCATTTCTAAGCGATCAACTGGTACCAGGAAGGGAAATGAAACGGTGGAGAGGATGGCAAAACAGTATATTAAAAGACGCAACTTAATCCTGTCTTTCTTGGTAGGTGTTATCAAAAATGATCTCATCTGTATGTGGATGCACTAAATAATGCAAAGTGCATAGAAGTCTTGCTTGCATAGTGCATTATATAAGACTAATGTATAAAAGTTTGTCCACACTATCAGATTTTCTTTGACCAAAAACTGCTGTATACCCATATATAGTCATGATGTGCCTCTACTTGGTCATGATGTGATGTCATCATGACCATATTTAGGCATGTCACATGTTTTTGTCAAATAAAATGTGATAGTCTGAACAGGGCTTAAGACTAATATAAATATTATACTATTTTCAGTGGCGGATTCAAGGAGGTGGGGGGGGGGGTGGTGCCCAGCTGGCCAGTGCTCCTCCCCCACCTAAATCTATTTTTCAAAATTATAAAAAAAGGTGGAGAGAAAAGAAAATTATATTCAAATTTAAGTCTGAGAATGCCATTGCCAACTGTCACTGGTACGGCATCACATTATTTATATTGTATAACACACCTAAATAGATCCCTGTCATTTAATTGGTGGATTTTGTATCATGTGACATTGGTTAATTGCCCCATTTCGTCATTCATCATGTAAATTTATTTCCATCCGTGCATTTTCTTTCCATCCGTTTTTTGTCCATAGCACATGCCTAGGATATGATGTGACTTCAACCTAATACAATCTTTTGATTGTGTAAATAGCCGCTGGACTATTCTATTTAGGAAAAGGGTAGATTTTTTTCATAAAATATAAAATGACAAGAATCTCCATTCAGAAAAATGTATATTTTTTTCATAAAATATCAAATGACAAGAATCTATTTTAGGTGTGTTATAAAACAAGCAAATGAATGTTTTTTATTCTTGCAATGGATAGAATATTTTCATTTGTTGAAAGATTGACTGTTCCATGAAACTTGGCTCTTCCTCGTCCAATGGAACAGTCTATCTTTCAACTTATGACAATATTCTTCCCATTACGATTATAAACATTCACTATTTTTATAATAGTTTTAACATTAGTAACTATTTCACTTTGTATATGCTTTCTTATTAAGATCTTTTTTTAAAATCATAAATAGTTATTCAAGTAAACATTTGTATTATTTGTTTTCTTAAATTTAAGATTTTTTGCTTTAAAGTTTTTTCAGAAATACACAATGATATTTTTTTCTTTCATATTAGGTTTAAGAATGCTGAAGTAATTGTGAAAGAAGTGATCCGATTGGTTCGTTTGGACCCATTGACAGTTTCTGATAATCCTAGAGCCATCCAGTATCTTGTTACAGAGAGTTCTGTTGACGCAGATGCAGCTGAGGTTAGTATTCAATCTGTTTTATCACTACTTCCATTATGGATTTTTTTACAAGAACATAGAATCTGCTTTCCCTGGCTTCATAAATACAACAATTGCACTCACTCTAAATGTATAAAATAACACTTAAAACAGTACTAAAATGTAATACTACTTAAAATATGCTACAGTAAGTCTATATATACATGAGGTTTATAGAAATAAAAAATGTTGTTTTTTCGATGTTAAAAAAAATTATGCTTTCAAATAATATATCAATTTTATATTTTGCATTAGTTTTACTTTAATTTTTGTCACATCATCATTATCATCATCTTCTTTGAGAGTCTTTGAGTAAACTTTTGAAAGGTGGGTGTTAGTTGCAACACCAACTGGTGCAATTACCATTATTTTGTTGTTTCGGCAGTTAAACTACATCTTGAACTGGGCCATTGTTTCACCAATCACAGCATTATCATACTTCTCATGTCAATATGAACCTCATCCTATAACAGCGCAATATGCGAATCGTGTTCTGGAATCGTATCCGGTGGAATCACTTCTCTTCTACACACCTCAACTAGTTCAGGCTGTTAGATATGACAGGGTGAGTAGCATTGTAATTTAGTAAGTAGCATGGAGTAGTATCAAACTGGAAAATTTGTCTCCTTGGATTGGTAAAAATTAACAATAACTATAGTGGATAGTATATTGTGTGTCAGGTAAATCAAAGTGCAGAGATTAATATGCAATTTAACATACTGTAAACACCTCCTTTGGGACACTCCTATTCAGGGGACACTGCTATTATGGGGGACACTTAATATGAAGTGGATAAATTCTTGTAATTGGAAACATTTCCAATCACAAGAATTTATCCACTTGATATGAGCATTGGAATAGTACCAAATATTTTTGACAAGGGGAAAGATGATCTGCATAGTGTGCTAGAAATAGGCAATATTAAATATGATTTTCCAAATTGTGGCATTGATTAATGTGTAGTGGTTACATAGTTATATCTGATATAGATGGCCATATAGGTGTGGCATGCTATTATGAATGAAGTACTGTAGCATTACTGAAGGTTTTAAGTGTTGCCTCATAATCTATTTGAATTTATTGTTTTGTTTGTATAGTTTGGATATGTGACAGAATTACTTCTACACCTTGCTAGCAAGTCACAGCTGCTTGCCCACCAACTGATCTGGAACATGAAGACTAACATTTATATCGATGAAGAAGGAAAGAACAGAGATGGTAAATATACTGATGTTTACAATTCATACAAAAAAAATAACATTCATTGATTTTAGGTGGCCAAGCTATAGGAAGAAATCCCACTAGCAAGAAACTTAACATCGGAGCTGGTTCTATTCAGTTTAATCTTGCTTGTGTGATTTTAAAAAAATCACATTGCATGTTATGGATAAGAATGGGGGTGGAGTGGTTACCCCAATGTTCTAGTTCAGTATGTTAGGTTTATGTAATTTTCATTTTGGTTATGCCCTTGGCTTCAATATCATGTACTACTGTGCAATGCTATTTCAAGTCAGGAGCAGGTCAAATTAGGAATAATAAAAAGAACAACATTTTTCACGAATTCTTTTTCAGGTGAATTTGCAGACCAACTTGAGCTCATCATTAACACTATCCTGAACAATCTGTCTGGACCAGCAAAGGCATTCTATGAACGAGAATTTGAATTCTTTGGTAAAATTACTGCAATATCGGGTGAAATCAGGTAATTTATTATTATTTATTTATTATTTATTGCACGTCCAACAGTGTAAATACCAATTGCAGGATGGAAAAATAAAATATACAGTAAAAATCTTCCACAATATAAGTAAAAAGCCAAAATTATTACAGTAAAGATTATTTAAAAAACTTGAATGCAATAGACTTAAACTTAGAAAAACTACAATGAAAAATATCAAATTCAAAACTATCACAAACACAATTATTATAAAGTGAAGACAATCTAAGAAATATACCATTTTTACAAACATTAAAATATGATGACTAGCAGTACATACAGAATGGATCTATAATTAATTTTTTTTTCAATAAATACAAGTAATTATGGATTTGTACAGTCTTAGACTACCAATATCATGATAGATTTGTGTAGATTAAGGAGATATTGATTTGTTTTTTCAAGTTTAACTAATGATGAATTGATTAATTCACTATTATTATAGATGTTCATATAGCTTTATCTGTTGTCCCATAGACCATTCCCTAAAGGGCAGGAGAGGAAGGATGCGTGCCTGAAAGCCTTAGCACGTATTGAACTGCAATCCGGATGCTACCTGCCAAGTAACCCTGAGGCTGTTGTCCTGGAGATTGATCAAAAATCAGGAACACCGATGCAGAGGTGAGTGTTTGTTTATCACTACAGTATTGTAATTAGTGATGATGAATCAGGAACACCGATGCAGAGGTGAGTGTTTGTTTATCACTACAGTATTGTAATTAGTGATGATGATATGGCAGGGATTTGCTTCAGTGGTTCTGGAGGTTCAATCCCTTACTATGCACTTTTCTCTCTCCACCAGTACAAGTGGGTGCCTGGTAGGTTCGAACACAAATGTGCTGTGTGTACTAGTGTTATGGAATTCTCTCCAGGGAACTGAGTATGTGTTCCATATGTGTTTGATCTAGTGACTGTGGGTAATATTATAAAATGCATAGAGGTGTTGTTGGTATGAAGTGCTATTTAAGACTAACTTATTATTATATTATGACTTGTGGTGCTAAGGTAATTCTTTGGTCTTCCAACTAAATAATCATGATTTGAGACATTTTAAAAATACATAATTATGATGATGATATAGTATTTATTCTACTGTTTTAAACTAATGATTTGTATTTTCATTTCAGTGCTGCAAAAGCTCCATTTTTAGCCAAGTTTACGGTACAGCAATGTGGCGTACAAGAACTTGAGGAGATTGGTATGGAGGGGGAGATAACTGAGGATAAGAAGAATGCCCAGCAGACCCAGGTACAAGCTGTTATCTTCAAGGTGGGAGACGATGTCAGACAGGTCAGTTAAGTATCCTTTACCTTTTTTTATTTAATTTACAAAAAGTGGGTTTATGGTATAAAAATAATGAAAATGTAGTTCACTGCTATCCTATATTTTGAATATTCACTTAATGATAAATAACATAGTTATTATTGATTACATAAAATGTAAAAAGTTGTTCAGTGTATTAGTGAGTTCCCATTATATATAGTACAAAGTAGATGATAAGGTTTAAGGGACTCTTAAAACTCAAAATTTAACTTGAAACAAAATTAATTACTTCTTAAAACAATCAAATTTATTTTTATCTTTTCCAGATATTCAGCTGTTGCTAAATAATATTGTTAAAATGTAATAAAATAAGTAGTAAATTGTAATCAGTTAAATTGTCATCATTGTAGCCATAACAAATTGAATGATATAATAATAACATTTCTATTTAGGAGGGTGAACACACAGACAGATGTCAACATTTATAAAGTCATACAAGTAAACAAATGGGACCTAAATTGTCTTTTTTTATTGTTTGTTTTACATTGTTATTAGTTTTTGTTGTATATTTTCATAGGATATGTTAGCACTACAAGTTATTGGGTTGTTTAAGAATATCTTCAAGCAAGTCGGACTTGACCTTTATCTGGTGCCCTACAAGGTTGTTGCAACATCACCAGGGGTAGGTAACCATTTATCCCTAAATAGAACAAATTATTTGAACAATAAAATATATGATTTACTTGTATATTTTATAAATATTTACCTACATGAAATGTCATTTAATTCTTGACATCTCATTTTTACAAACTTAAAATTCTGTCTTTCCTTCCAGTGTGGTGTTATCCAATGTGTTCCAGATTGCAAGTCACGTGATCAGCTTGGACGGCAAACCGATATTGGCATGTATGAGTATTTTAGGACCAAATATGGAGATGAAAAAACACCAGCATTTCAGAAGGTAAATTATATTATTATTATATTACCTCTGTATTGTATTTTTATATGTTATTATTATTGTTATTTTTATTATTTTATGCGAAATATTTAAATGTGGTTTGTTTTTCTTGTAGGCTCGTAAAAACTTTGTTCAAAGTATGGTGGCCTACAGTATCATTGGCTTCCTCCTGCAGATTAAGGACCGTCACAATGGCAACATCATGCTGGACTCTGTCGGCCACATTATACACATAGGTAAATACACTACTGACAGCACTATATTACAGACTTTCCTTGTCCATGATTACAGAAGGCCTAGTACAAACATTTGACAAGCTAATGTACTGTATTGCCTCATCTACAGATTTTGGTTTTATGTTCGAGAGTTCACCGGGAGGCAACTTGGGCTGGGAAGCAGACATAAAGCTGACTGAAGAGATGTTGATGATCATGGGTGGTAAGATTGAGAGTGCCCCCTTTAAATGGTTCATGGAACTGTGTGTTCAAGCTTATCTTGCTGTCAGGTAACTACTCAAGAACCATTTAAAAAAAACAAAAAACAACAGCTGTAACTTTAATAAGTTCAGATTTCTGTTTGCTCAGATTGTCGGCCTTGGTAAGAAGGCTGCCTGCTTTACAATCAATAATTCAAATATACGCATAAATGTAGGATAGTAAAAACTGCTAATTATGAATTTGTTTTGTATTTGACTAGACCGTATCAAGAGGAGATTGTATCGCTTGTGGCTCTTATGCTGGACACTGGCCTTCCTTGCTTCAGAGGTCAGACGATCAAACTACTCAGGTGAGTACCCACTTATTCAGCTGGATTAACAGTGTAATAGGTGAAAGAGTTGAGGTAGTTGGATTCATACATATACACATACACAATATTTTTCTTACATGATTGCTCAAAATAACCAAATGTCAATTCATCATTTTTTTCTTCATATAAAATTTAGATCTAGATTTTCTCCAAATCTGAGTGATAGAGAAGCAGCCAACTACATTCTAAAGGTAGTCAAAGATTCCACAGGCAATGTTAGGTAAGTAAACATCTGTAACTTTTGTTTTGTATTAAGCATCAATTTCCAAATGTACATAATGCACCAATTTCCCCTTTTTTCACTCATAATATCTTCAGTATTAAAAAATATTGATTTTTTTTTCTGTATTGTGAACAATTATTATTTCAGCAACTGAATTGTTTTTTGTCTTCTAGGACCCGAACATATGACATGATTCAGTATTACCAGAACCAGATTCCGTATTGAAATATTCAACAAAAACAGCCAATAAGTAGTCTGCTCAGATCACCATTACGAAGAGCTGACCAGTTGCTAACACCAGTACGGGTAGTGGACGACAAGTGCTGGTAGTCATTGGTGTGATAACTTAGTTATCTTAGTAATGTTTTATCTTACATAAAGCTTCTGTTACATCAGTGCAGTAGTATAGTAAAGTGCCATTCATTTGATTGGATGCCTTTGGTTGTAAGTTAAATTTGAGGAAGATACATAACTTTTAAAGAGAGTGTGAATGGTTAGGTCCTTGATAAGAAGACAAAGAATAGATATGCACCTGACTTAATCCTGGCACCATCCCTCACAGGAATGATATTGATATCCCTTACAGGGTAGTAGTCACTGTCATTCCCAGAATAATATCTTGTCCCTGGATGTGGAAATGTGAGGTCCCTGGAAGATAAAATGTGGTGTCCCTGGATTTAAAGTATGAGATCCCTGGTTTTAAGTATGAGGTCCCTGGATGTTAAGATTTGAAATCTCTGTGTGATAGAATGTGAGGTCTCTGAATGTTAAAATATGAGATCCCTGAATATTGAAATACAAGCCCCTGGATGCTAACAATATGAGGCCCCTCAGATGCTGTCCCTGGATGTTCCCCAGGGTAGTTTAGTTTCGCATTAGGATTACTGCATGTTATGTGCTGTATAAGTTGCGATATTCCTTGATTTCAATAATATTTATATCACTTCCAGAATAAAATTTATAAATCTAGGTGCTATGCTTTAGAGATGTAGAAGCATTTAGTTGCAGATAACTCTTCCATTAGATTAAGACTGTACTTAATAATGTCACAATTTTTTACATGCATTTATAAATTTTTAATGTTATTTTTTCCCCAGACTTTTTTCAAACTTTTAAGCAATATCAAATTGTAAGTGAATGGTTAAAGAAAGACTGCTAACATGTGATTTTTGTAATAATTCCATTTGGGCCAATATATTTAATGACCAATTACTTCTTTACTTTAAATTCTGTTTATGGGTTAGAAGAAATTATAGTGTAGCAAAATCTACCTTTGCAACCATTAGGATATGTATGTTGTATGTTATGAATGTATCTTATGTATGTAAATGAGTATTACTATTTTGTTCCTAGTGCTACTGTATAT